CGTCATAATCTGTATTTATTGATTCTGTATCATTGATACACTTTTTTTCCTGCTGTTTAAGACCCCTTGACCCCTCGATTGACACACCCTGAATACTGTCACAAGCTAACAGGTACAGATGTAGGATCTTAATTTGAGCCAGTTTGCAGCAGGAAAATAATCCTGCAGCTACAGGAAATGTGAATTATTAAGTGAATTATAATTAATAGACATTAATGTAGGGGTTGATATTTTTTGTGAGGGAAAAATCAAGTCTGAAATTTGAAAGTGGAAATTACTAACGTCAGAAGCGTTTTTAAACCTCAAATACATTGTAGGAAAGTTATCAAATTAAGATCCTACACCTGTATAGGCCTACAACACTTGTTTTGGGGAGGGAAACATGTGTGGGGTGGAAATATCTCAGAATGAATTGTGCAATTCATTTGATTGCACCATCTGACTCATGGGCCAAACTGATGTTAAATAATGAAGTCACAGTGTGGAGCCCGGCACACTCATTGTAGCTGCTCTGCTGTGATGCAATCATTGGTGACCTCCGCAGATTAGCGTAATCAGCTCTCACAGCTTGTGTGAAATTATATTGCTCTGTATGAAAGGAAACGGATGGAATTCAATGGAAAGGATCCAGCGACACAGCCCAAATACATTGGGGGGAAGAGATGTCATTAACACAGTGAGCCGACACTGTGAAAAGCCCAGCATCTTCAGGGATCATGGTACAAGTTAATTTCATTCTGTTGAACAGGGGAGATTAATGGTGGCTTTGGGGTTCAGCAGGAGGAAACAAGAGTTGATTGATTAAACCTTTTTTTTTGTTACTACTTTTTGCCAAATGGTCCTTGAAAGTCATTGCTCACAATGATGACTGCACTGCAGCTGGACAGACATGAGGAACCCTGTCATCTGTGACATCTCCTGTTTTATGTTTTACAGTACCTGCCTTTCACTGACTCTCCTCAGGCATGCATCCCTAATGGTACATATTCCTATATAGCACTTGCAGTGGTGGCTGGTGGCACTTTAAATGGGGAGGATGGGCTAATATTGGCTGGAACAGAATTCATGGAATGGTCTCAAACACATCAAACACCTGGTTTCCATGTGTTTGATACCATTCCATTCACTTAATTCCATTCATGATTATGAACCGTCCTCCCCTCACCAGCCTCCTCTACCAGTGCTTGTTATTCACATCCAATGTGCGTCATGTCTTTGTTGTGCAGGTTGATTTCATTTGGGATCCTGAGGAGCTGAATATGAATTAATTTTGAGGCAGACATCACATTCTGATAAGGCTTTCCTTCTGTCAGGGGATCCCCTTGCAGATGGTTGTTGATTAACATTGCTGTCAGAGCCACTATTAGGAATATGCTCCTGCATGTTGATTTGAATGCCATAAGGACAAAGTGGAGGAAACTGTAACCAGTAACCACATCTTATGTTGATTAAAGGAAGACTCAGCGATATAACGTAGATACAGAAAGTAAACATCATAGTGTGTCAATTTCCGCATCAACTAAGAGCATTGAAGCGCAAGGCTCAACTTCTCCTCTGTTTTGGTCCTGTGGCTCCCACGCTGTAACAGCATGAAGCGAACCCATGCACATGCACAGATGTGTGACTGTGTGAGAGCGAAGTCTTGCATCTCGCTCATCTCAGTATCTGTGGTGCTGCTTGTGGCAATTGGATTTTCACTGAGTCTATAATAAAGTGCAGTTATAGGCTTTTCTATACGGTTTCCTTGACCATCTTTGTGTTAAGGAACAGGTTAAAGTCTTTAAAAGAATAGTTAGTTGATGTTGTATCTGTGTATTAAAGATTAAACAAGGTGTTGACTGCAGTTAATCAAGTTATAAGTCTGGAGGAGGATAGAGAGTTTTTAATAGCACCACAGCTGGCCTTGTTTTATTGCTTTAGGAGGGAGGTAATAGAAAAACTACAACAACCAGAGGGCCATAAAAATCCTTGTTAATTAAGTATATGGATAATTATTTTCAGCCAAACATTAATTTTACAGGTTTAATAGATGTTTCAACGGTTTCTTTCTAAGTGCCTTGGGCATGGTTTGTAATGCAGTACCATTAATCAACTGGGTTCTTCCTCCAACTTTAAGTCTTTATAAGAACAGTAACAATGTTCTCTTATGTCTTCACAGGAAAGTTTCACCCAAGCAAAACACCCAGACAGGACAGAGTTATATAGCCATGGAGAACATTAAAATAACAATTGTGGACTCCTTGAAATGGAAAAAGCCTACATTAAATTTAGCATTACCACACACTGCTCATCATTCACGGCTGCCAAGGTTATGAGAGATGTCACCTCCAGAAGTGTTTATTGGAGCCCTTATGGTATATTTTCCATCTCAAACACAGCATGTGAGGTAAGACAGATTTTAATTACTTACATAGCAGGGGGTTTTGGAGACCCTGCTGACCGGTGACCATAGCCACTCACATTTTTCTCCTTCTTTGGTTATCAACACCTGTTTATCAACACCCTGCTTGGCTTTTATACAGTAGGGTTATCTTCACTGGATTGGTAAGAACAACCATATTATAACAGCGTCATGAAGTGTGCATATTTTGCCTTGCCAAAGTGCTTATGTTTCTAACTTAGAATTTTACTGCCCGTCTCCTCTCTTTTCCCTTTTTCCCCTTTTCCCTAGCATCGCAAGCTTGACTGGTTTACAATGGCCTCCTGTTTGGATGTTGTTGCTATTGCACTACTGTCACAGATCGCTGGTCACAGTGAAGGGTGACAACATGGAGGCCCCCGCCAGACAACACTCATAAATACTGAATGATCCAGATTGAAAAGGTGTTTTTCTGCTTGTCTCACATGCAGCCTTGCGCTGAATCTTTATTTCTCTTTTATTTTTTTTACAGACACTTGTGAAAACTCTGTTAGAGGACTTTCAAGGCTGTATAGAGTGTGTACATGTATTTGTGTGTTACTGTGTGTGTGTGTGCATATGTTGCATCATGCCATAGTTGCTCTGTAATTATTTTTAAATTAATAACAGTATTATGATGATGTAATTACAATGCTGTAAACTGCAGATATGGTGCAGGAAACAAATCATGAAAATAAAATAAAAAGCCCTGTAAAAGTTACCACCTGCATAATTATCGTATAACAATAAATGTAAATTCAATGTCACTCTATGGTATCTGTGGAACTTGTAAAGTAAACAGGAAAACGTGTTGCCTCTTAATTTATGGAGACCTACGGCTAAGGACCTTAGAATTTCAAGTCCCCATCACGGTTCTCCAAAGCAAGTCTCCTCTTCAGAATATTACGACAACGAAGTGCTTTACGGTAACATTTCTGTTTTAAGTTTGTAGCGGGACATTGCTAGGCTAACATAGCCAGTATTCATTGTGGATAACTGTAACGTTTGCCCAAAACTTAACATTTCGTCATGGACGTAGGCGAGCTACTGAATTATCAGGTAATTAGCTAGTTAGACATATCCTTAGTGTTTGCTGCAACTGTTAGCCAGCTAGCTAATTTACCGGAGCTAGCTAGCAGAATAAACGTGCTGTAAACGCCGTCTTTGACCATAGCCCTACATTGCTAGCTAACTGGCTAACATGATGGGTAGTTAGCAAATAAACCAAGTTCGCTAAGCTAGTTAGTGTTGTGACAAATGAAAGAGAGTTGGCTATCTGATGTCAAGTTAGCCTAGCTAGCTAGCACATCACGAACTAACGTTAACAAGACCCTAACGTTACGTTAGTGAGCTAACGTACTTAGCTAACTAAGGTTAACTAACTGACGTTAGCTAGCTTGTGATGCAAACTCTTGCCTAGCTCAGCCAAAGAGATTTGCTATTTGTTCTATCTAAAGTGATGTTACTTTCATGGAATGTCATTTCTTGAGCACAAGATACACTACATGGTCAAAAGTATGTGGACATTCCAAAATCCCATTCCAAAATCATGGACATTAATATGGAGTTGGTCCCCCCCATTCGCTGCTATAACAGCCTCCACTGTTCTGGGAAGGCTTTCCACTAGATGTTGGAACATTGCTGCGGGAACTTGCTTCCATTCAGCCACAAGAGCATTAGTGAGGTCGGGCACTGGTGTTGGGCGATTAGGCCTGGCTCGCAGTCGGTGTTCCATTTCATCCCAAAGGTGTTGGATGGGGTTGAGGTCAGGGCTCTGTGCAGGCCTGTCACGTTCTTCCACACCAATCTCGACAAACCATTTCTTTATGCACATGGCATTGTCATGCTAAAACAGGAAAGGGCCTTCCCCAAACTGTTGCCACAAAGTTGGAAGCACAATCGTCTAGAATGTCATTGTATGCTGGAGCGTTAAGATTTTCCTTCACTGGAACTAAGGAACCTAGCCCGAACCATAAAAAACAGCCCCAGACCATTATTCCTCCTACACCAAACTTTACAGTTGGCACTATGCATTGGGGCAGGTAGCGTTCTCCCGGCATCCGCCAAACCCAGATTCGTCCGTCAGACTGCCAGATGGTGAAGCGCGATTCATCACTCCAGAGAACGCGTTTCCACTGCTCCAGAACGCGCTTCAGAACTCTGCGGTTCCGTTCTGTGAGCTTGTGTAGCTGACCACTTCGCGGCTGAGCCGTTGTTGCTCCTAGACGTTTCCACTTCACAGTAACAGCACTTACAGTTGACCGGGGCAGCTCTATCAGGGCAGAAATTTGACGAACTGACTTGTTGGAAAGGTGGCATCCTATTATGGTGCCATGTTGAAAGTCACAGCTCTTCAGTAAGGCCATTCTTCTGCCAATGTTTGTCTATGGAGATTGCATGGCGGTGTGCTCAATTTTATACACCTGTCAGCAACGGGTGTGGAATCCACTAATTTGAAGGGGTGTCAACATACTTTTGGCCAGGTAGTGTATATCAAAGAAAATCAAGTGCTATTTGCATGTAAAGATTAATGCATTTGCTCCATTGTTTACTTTTTGCTTAGATACATTGCAAAGCCTTATGACTTGACCTCCCTGTTTTGATGTACCTGCTTAACATGGTGTTATCTTCATTGTAGCCTGACAGGGGGGCAAAGCGTCTACGGGCTGGGGATGATGATGATGTTGATGACCCCAGAAGCAAGAAGGTTGGCAGAGAACTGGCCAGACACCTGGAGAGAGATGACAGTGAGGACCCGAGTGGTGACAGGAAGAGGATACTGGAGAAACTCATGGATGACGATGAGGACGCAGACGACCAAGAGGTGGGGAAAGTTTTACTGACATGATAAAGCATGCATGCAGAGTTAAATGCGCTGATCTTGTTCCTAAAATATTTTTTTTGTCTTGGTAACACTTTTCACAAGAGGGCACTCTGTTTTCAGGGTGAACCAGTGGATGAGAGTTCGGTGAAGAAAATGATCCTGACCTTTGAAAAAAGGTCCTACAAAAACCAAGAGCTGAGGATAAAGTTCCCAGACACCCCGGGGAGGTGAGTTTATGAGAGGGACATTTATACATAGGGCTGTGACGGTCATGGAACTTTGGATGTCGGTAATTGGTCAGCCAAATGACCGCGGTCATCATAATAACCATTCTAATAGCTATTATTATTGTATATACAGTACTAGTCAAATGTTTGGACACACCTACTCATTCCAGGGTTTTTCTTTATTTTTAAAATTTTCTACATTGTAGAATAATAGTGAAGACATCAAAATTATGAAATAACACATGGAATCATGTAGAAACCAAAAAAGTGTTAAACAAATCAAAATATATTTTATATTCTTCAAAGTAGCCACCCTTTGCCTTGATGACAGCTTTGCACACTCTTGGCATTCTCTCAACCAGCTTCACCTGGAATGCTTTTCCAACAGTCTTGAAGGAGTTCCCACATATGCTGAGCACTTGTTAGCTGCTTTTCCTTCACTCTGCGGTCAAATTCATCCCAAACCATCTCAATTGGGTTGAGGTCAGGTGATTGTGGAGGCCAGGTCATCTGATGCAGCACTCCATCACTCTCCTTCTTGGTCAAATAGCCCTTACACAGCCTGGAGGTGTATTGGGTCATTGTCCTGTTGAAAAACAAATGATAGTCCCACCAAGCGCAAACCAGATGGGATGGCGTATCGCTGCAGAATGCTGTGGTAGACATGCTGGTTAAGTGTGCCTTGAATTCTAAATAAATCACAGACAGTATCACCAGCAAAACACCCCCACAACTCCTCTACCATGCTTCACGGTGGGCACCACACATGCAGAGATCATCCGTTCACCTACTCTGCGTCTCACAAAGACACGGCGGTTGGAACCAAAAATCACAAATTTGGACTCATCAGACCAAAGGACAGATTTCCACCGGTCTCATGTCAATTGCTTGTGTTTTTTGGCCCAAGCAAGTCTCTTCTTCTTATTGGTGTCCTTTAGTAGTGGTTTCTTTGCAGCAATTTGACCATGAAAGCCTGATTCACACAGTCTCGTCTGAACAGTTGATGTTGAGATGTCTGTTACTTGAACTCTGTGAAGCATTTATTTGGGCTGCAATCTGAGGTGCAGTTAACACTAATGAACTTATCCTCTGCAGCAGAGGTAACTCTGGGTCTTCCTTTCCTGTGGTGGTCCTCATGAGAGCCAGTTTCTTCTGCACCTGGAATGCATTTCAATTAACAGGTGTGCCTTGTTAAAAGTTCATTTGTGGAATTTCTTTCCTTAATGCGTTTGAGCCAATCAGTTGTGCTGTGACAAGGTAGGGGTGGTATACAGAAGATAGCCCTATTTGGTAAAAGACGAAGTCCATATTATGGCAAGAACAGCTCAAATAAGCAAAGAGAAACGACAGTCCATCATTACTTTAAGACATGAAGGTCAGTCAATCCGGAAAATGTCAAGAACTTTGAAAGTTTCTTCAAGTGAAGTCGCAAAAACCATCAAGCGCTATGAAGAAACTGGCTCTCATGAGGACCACCACAGGAAAGGAAGACCCAGAGTTACCTCTGCTGCAGAGGATAAATTCATTAGTGTTAACTGCACCTCAGATTGCAGCCCAAATAAATGCTTCACAGAGTTCAAGTAACAGACACATCTCAACATCAACTGTTCAGACGAGACTGTGTGAATCAGGATTTCATGGTCAAATTGCTGCCAAGAAACCACTACTAAAGGACACCAATAAGAAGAAGAGACTTGCTTGGGCCAAAAAACACAAGCAATTGACATGAGACCGGTGGAAATCTGTCCTTTGGTCTGATGAGTCCAAATTTGTGATTTTTGGTTCCAACCGCCGTGTCTTTGTGAGACGCAAGAGTAGGTGAACGGATTATCTCTGCATGTGTGGTGCCCACCGTGAAGTATGGTAGAGGCGTTGTGGGGGTGTTTTGCTGGTGATACTGTCTGTGATTTATTTAGAATTCAAGGCACACAGCATTCTGCAGCGATACGCCATCCCATCTGGTTTGCGCTTGGTGGGACTATCATTTGATTTTCAACAGGACAATGACCCAATACACCTCCAGGCTGTGTCAGGGCGATTTGACCAAGAAGTAGAGTGATGGAGTGCTGCATCAGATGACCTGGCCTCCACAATCACCTTACCTCAACCCAATTGAGATGGTTTGGGATGAGTTTGACCGCAGAGTGAAGGAAAAGCAGCTCAGCATACGTGGGAACTCCTTCAAGACTGTTGGTAAAGCATTCCAGGTGAAGCTGGTTGAGAGAATGTCAAGAGTGCAAAACTGTCATCAAGGCAAAGGGTGGCTACTTTAAAGAATATAAAATATATTTTGATTTGCTTAACACTTTTTTGGTTTCTACATGATTCCATATGTGTTATTTCATAGTTTTGATGTCTTCACTATTATTCTACAATGTAGAAAATAGTACAACTATAGAAAAACCCTTGAATGAGTAGGTGTGTCCAAACTTTTGACTGGTACTGTGTGTGTGTGTGTGTGTGTGTGTATGTATGTATGTATGTATGTATGTATGTATGTATGTATGTATGTGTATATATATACAGTGGGGAGAACAAGTATTTGATACACTGCCGATTTTGCAGGTTTTCCTACTTACAAAGCATGTAGATGTCTGTAATTTTTATCATAGGTACACTTCAACTGTGAGAGACGGAATCTAAAACAAAAATCCAGAAAATCACATTGTATGATTTTTAAGTAATTAATTTGAATTTTTTTGCATTACATACAGTGAGGGAAAAAAGTATTTGATCCCCTGCTGATTTTGTATGTTTGCCCACTGACAAAGAAATGATCAGTCTATCATTTTAATGGTAGGTTTATTTGAACTGTGAGAGACAGAATAACAACAAAAAAATCCAGAAAAACGCATGTCAAAAATATTATAAATTGATTTGCATTTTAATGAGGGAAATAAGTATTTGACCCCCTCTCAATCAGAAAGATTTCTGGCTCCCAGGTGTCTTTTATACAGGTAACGAGCTGAGATTAGGAGCACACTCTTAAAGGGAGTGCTCCTAATCTCAGTTTGTTACCTGTATAAAAGACACCTGTCCACAGAAGCAATCAATCAATCAGATTCCAAACTCTCCACCATGGCCAAGACCAAAGAGCTCTCCAAGGATGTCAGGGACAAGATTGTAGACCTACACAAGGCTGGAATGGGCTACAAGACCATCGCCAAGTAGCTTGGTGAGAAGGTGACAACAGTTGGTGCGATTATTCGCAAATGGAAGAAACAAAATAACTGTCAATCTCCCTCAGCCTGGGGCTCCATGCAAGATCTCACCTCGTGGAGTTGCAATGATCATGAGAACGGTGAGGAATCAGCCCAGAACTACACGGGAGGATCTTGTCAATGATCTCAAGGCAGCTGGGACCATAGTCACCAAGAAAACAATTGGTAACACACTACGCCGTGAAGGACTGAAATCCTGCAGCGCCCGCAAGGTCACCCTGCTCAAGAAAGCACATATACAGGGCCGTCTGAAGTTTGCCAATGAACATCTGAATGATTCAGAGGAGAACTAGGTGAAAGTGTTGTGGTCAGATGAGACCAAAATCGAGCTCTTTGGCATCAACTCAACTCGCCGTGTTTGGAGGAGGAGGAATGCTGCCTATGACCCCAAGAACACCATCCCCACCGTCAAACATGGAGGTGGAAACATTATGCTTTGGGGGTGTTTTTCTGCTAAGGGGACAGGACAACTTCACCGCATCAAAGGGACGATGGACGGGGCCATGTATCCGTCAAATCTTGGGTGAGAACCTCCTTCCCTCAGCCAGGGCATTGAAAATGGGTCTTGGATGGGTATTCCAGCATGACGATGACCCAAAACACACGGCCAAGGCAACAAAGGAGTGGCTCAAGAAGAAGCACATTAAGGTCCTGGAGTGGCCTAGCCAGTCTCCAGACCTTAATCCCATAGAAAATCTGTGGAGGGAGCTGAAGGTTCGAGTTGCCAAACGTCAGCCTCAACCTTAATGACTTGGAGAAGATCTGCAAAGAGTAGTGGGACAAAATCCCTCCTGAGATGAGTGCAAACCTGGTGGCCAACTACAAGAACGTCTGACCTCTGTGATTGCCAACAAGGGTTTTGCCACCAAGTACTAAGTCATGTTTTGCAGAGGGGTCAAATACTTATTTCCCTCATTAAAATGCAAATGAATTTATAACATTTTTGACATGCGTATTTTTCTGTTTTTTGTTGTTATTCTGTCTCTCACTGTTCAAATAAACCTACCATTAAAATTATAGACGTATCATTTCTTTTTCCAGTTGGCAAACGTACAAAATCAGCATGGGATCAAATACTTTTTTCCCTCACTGTAAGTATTTGATCACCTACCAACCAGTAAGAATTCCAGCTCTCACAGACCTGTTAGTTTTTCTTTAAGAAGCCCTCCTGTTCTCCACTCATTACCTGTATTAACTGCACCTGTTTGAACTCGTTACCTGTATAAAAGACACCTGTCCACACACTCAATCAAACAGACTCCAACTTCTCCACAATGGCCAAGACCAGAGAGCTGTGTAAGGACATCAGGGATAAAATTGTAGACCTGCACAAGGCTGGGATTGGCTACAGGACAATAGGCAAGCAGCTTGGTGAGAAGGCAACAACTGTTGGCGCAATTATTAGAAAATGGAAGAAGTTCAAGATGACGGTCAATCACCCTCGGTCTGGGGCTCCATGCAAGATCTCACCTCGTGGGGCATCAATGATCATGAGGAAGGTGTGGGATCAGCCCAGAACTACACGGCAGGACCTGGTCAATGACCTGAAGAGAGCTGGGACCACAGTCTCAAAGAAAACCATTAGTAACACACTACGCAGTCATTGATTAAAATCCTGCAGCGCACGCAAGGTCCCCCTGCTCAAGCCAGCGCATGTCCAGGCCCGTCTGAAGTTTGCCAATGACCATCTGGATGATCCAGAGGAGGAATGGGAGAAGGTCATGTGGTCTGATGAGACAAAAATAGAGCTTTTTGGTCTAAACTCCACTCGCCGTGTTTGGAGGAAGAAGAAGGATGAGTACAACCTCAAGAACACCATCCCAACCGTGAAGCATGGAGGTGGAAACATCATTCTTTGGGGATGCTTTTCTGCAAAGGGGACAGGACGACTGCACCGTATTGAGGGGAGAATGGATGGGGCCATGTATCGCGAGATCTTGGTCTGCTAAATGGCATATTATTATTATAAAAATCTCCTTCCCTCAGTAAAAGCATTGAAGATGGGTCGTGGCTGGGTCTTCCAGCATGACAACGACCCGAAACACACAGCCAGGGCAACTAAGGAGTGGCTCCGTAAGAAGCATCTCAAGGTCCTGGAGTGGCCTAGCCAGTCTCCAGACCTGAACCCAATAGAAAATCTTTGGAGGGAGCTGAAAGTCCGTATTGCCCAGCGACAGCCCCGAAACCTGAAGGATCTGGAGAAGGTCTGTATGGAGGAGTGGGCCAAAATCCCTGCTGCAGTGTGTGCAAACCTCGTCAAGACCTACAGGAAACGTATGATCTCTGTAATTGCAAACAAAGGTTTCTGTACCAAATATTAAGTTCTGCTTTTCTGATGTAGCAAATACTTATGTCATGCAATAAAATGCAAATTAATTACTTAAAAATCATACAATGTGATTTTCTGGATTTTTGTTTTAGATTCCGTCTCTCACAGTTGTAAGTGTATCTATGATAAAAATTACAGACCTCTACATGCTTTGTAAGTAGGAAAACCTGCAAATCGGCAGTGTATCAAATACTTGTTCTCCCCACTGTATGTATATGTGTGTGTGTGTGTGTATATATATATATATATATATATATATATATATATATATATATATATATATATATATATATATATATATATATATATATATACATACAGCTGTGGAAAAAATTTAGAGACCACTGCAAATGTTTCTTAAATCACCATCTATACATGTATGACTTCCATTCCAGTGTCTGTTGAATTCCAACACAGGCACACCTCATTCTACTGAATTAGGTACTGATTAGGTGATCACATGAACCAAATCTTATTTAATGAGGAAAAGTATAAAAACAACTACTGTGGTCATCACTATCCTCTTGCAATAGGACCAGCTGGATGGCAAAAACTGTACTAATAGTACCTCAAAAGTAATATGAATAAAACATTTACTATTGAACATGCCAAAAAGTTGGAAAGGAAAGTTTTGAGTGAGGAAAAGAAGGGTGCAATTCTGGCTTTACTGGCAGAGGAATACAGTGAGCGTCAGGTTGCTTACATCCTTAAAATTTCAAAGAAGGCGGTTCATAAGAACAAGGTCAAGCAGCAGACCGGCAGAGGGCGAAAACGACTCTACTGACCGGGATGACCGCCAACTCATTCGAATGTCACTCAACAACCGTAGGATGACATCAATTGACCTACAAAAAGAATGGCAAACGGCAGCTGGGGTGAAGTGCATGGCGAGGACTGTTCGAAACAGGCTCCTAGGGGCAGGGCTGAAGTCGTGCAAAGCTAGAAAAAAGCCCTTCATCAATGAGAAGCAAAGAAGAGCCAGGCTGAGGTTTGCAAAAGACCATAAGGATTGGACCGTAGAGGACTGGAGTAAGGTCATCTTCTCTGATGAGTCCAATTTTCAGCTTTGCCCAACACCTGGTCATCTAATGGTTAGACGGAGACCTGGAGAGGCCTACAAGCCACAGTGTCTTGCACCCACTGTGAAATTTGGGGGAGGATTGGTGATGATCTGGGGGTGCTTCAGCAAGGCTGGAATCGGGCAGATTTGTCTTTTTGAAGGACGCATGAATCAAGCCACGTACAAGGTTGTCCTGGAAGAAAACTTGCTTCCTTTTGCTCTGACATTGTTCCCCAACTCTGAGGATTGTTTTTTCCAGCAGGACAATGTGCCATGCCACACAGCCAGGTCAATCAAGGTGTGGATGGAGGACCACCAGATCAAGACCCTGTCATGGCCAGCCCAATCTCCAGACCTGAATCCCATTGAAAACTTCTGAAATGTGATCAAGAGGAAGATGGATGGTCACAAGCCATCAAACAAAGCCGAGCTGCTTGAATTTTTGCGCCAGGAGTGGCATAAAGTCCCCCAACATCAATGTGAAAGACTGGTGGAGAGCATACCAAGACGCATGAAAGCTGTGATTGAAAATCAGGGTTATTCCACCAAATATTGATTTCTGAACTCTTCCTAAGTTAAAACATTACTATTGTGTTGTTTAAAAATGAACATGAACTTATTTCCTTTGCATTATTCGAGGTCTGACAACACTGCATCTTTTTTGTTATTTTGACCAAATAAATGCTCTAAATGACAATATTTTTATTTGGAATTTGGGAGCAATGTTGTCATTAGTTTATAGAATAAAACAAAAATGTTATTTTTACCTAAACACATACCTATAAATAGTAAAACCAGAGAAACTGATCATTTTCAGTGGTCTCTTAATTTTTTCCGCAGCTTTGTGTGTGTGTTTGTGTGTGTGTATATGTGTGTATATATATATATATATATATATATATATATATATATATATATAAACAAATTCTCCTCCACTCTTGACTGCGTGTGCTGCTGCTGTAGGCTAGGTTGAAGATAAAAGGTTAGGACAAGTTATGATTCCTTGTGGAAACTTTTAGAAAATAAACAGATTCATGGGACAAGTGCCGTTGCTAACTACCAGCGCCGTTGCTAACTAGCATAGCTTGTCCCATTGCTGCAAATAGTTGTGGGATATTAGAATCCTCTTGTCTTAACCTTTGGGTGCGTTCGTAAATTCACTTTGGCTATCTACTCCGATTTCAGAGCACTCTCATTTCAGTGTGACAGAGTGCAGAATAACTGATTAATTTACGAACGCACAACACCCATTTGAATTTGACAGGTATCAGTAAAAAAAAAAAACTGAATTAATTTGTTGCTAGCAGGACAGTTACAGTCCTTAACGCTCTAGATAACAGGACAATAGTCTAACCAGCTCTACTAGGCCGAGTAAAATAGTCAGTGAGGTGTTCTCTCATTTGTGTTTGGAAGTAGCTAGCAAGCTAGCCAACTTTAGCCAGTTAGGTCAGAACGCTTGGATCAACCCTACTCCTAGGCCAGAGCGTCCAGTGTGCGCTCTGAATGCTCCGAGAGCGAAATGCACTGAATTTACGCACAGACAATCTGACAACGCTCTGAATTTACGAACGCCCAGAGTGCACTCTCAGCGCACTGACACTCCAGAGTGAATTTACGAACTCACCCTTAGTCATCTTCAACCTAGGCTGCAGGGAGGGGGGTGTTGCCTAGGCACCGAAGACTCTTTTGCTAAAATGGTTATGATGGTTATTTTATTTTCATGACGGTCTTCATCCATAACCGTCGGTTACACGTTTATATGGTGATTGTGCCAGCCCTAGTTATACATGAAATATTAATGCTTTTGTCTTTATAAAGGTATAAGCCTACTGTAAGGGTAAATCGATCTGCAGCAGTCTTCAATTACATGACATTGCATTCAACAAGTGTGGACTTATTTTACTATAATGACATATTTTATTATGCCTCTGCTCAGGTTCATGGAAACAGAGCTGGATCTGAACGATATCATCCAAGAGATGCATGTCATCGCCACCATGCCTGATCTCTACCACCTCTTGGTGGAGCTCAATGCTGTCCATTCCCTGCTGGGCTTACTCAGCCACGAGAACACAGATATCCTTTCCTTCAAAGATGGCTTACTGAGCATCATTCACTGTTTAATTCAATTAATTTACAATTTACATGCACTTGTTAAAAACCATCAACAAATGTTATTCTATGCATTTTACCTTGAATAAGGCTACTAATTATTCAAAACTGAACCCAGGAAAAAAGGGAACATATTGATACAATTGATTCCCACTGTAAAAATCCTTAGCCTCTCCTACATATCGCCATTGCAGTGGTTGATTTGTTACAAGAGCTGACGGACATCGACACACTTCATGAAAGTGAGGAAGGGGCTGAAGTACTCATAGACTCTTTGGTGAGTCCATTTTGTTTGTTAACAATCAATGCATGGTTATCTGCCATTTTGTGTTATTTCTCATCCATCCACAACCATATTGATAATTATAAACTCAATAGATAAAAAGCAGATTCAATCCCAGCTAATGTCCATTGCCTTAGTGAAAATGGTATGTCTTAAGGCGTCTGCATGCTTCCCATCCGAAACAGTTTGTGCATATATTATGACAACATTTTGTGACGTTTTTGTTAGTTTTGGTCTTCGGCAAGGGGTTTTTCGGCTGTTCGTTTAAAAAAAAAAAAAAAGAATCTTGAGGCAAGCAAGCCGAGGTTCGGAGCCGAAGTCTACGCCCCTTCGTCGGTCATTGGTCAACAGTAGGGATTCTTCAATTAAGTGTTTGTCATTCAACGATAGATTACTTGTTTTCATGCACATTTTTTCACTTGAGAAATACTGCGGCAAACATCTTAGATGTAAAATTGCGCGACTAAGATCTCCTCTGCAAAAACGGCAAAATTAATGACAGATTTCTTGAGTAATCTTAGATTAATTCTGACTATTTTGAGGAAGTGTATACTGGCTATGGTGTCTCAAGATGGACAAACAGTACTTTTGCCGCTTTTTCTGGTCTTTCAAGCTAAAGTATTTTATGGGAGTATGCGAGCACACTCGTTCAGTTCGAAACAAAGCATGTGGAAGCCTTAGCCCTCCCTTTGCACTCCCTTTGACAGCAGCAAAGTCATTGGCGGTTTTCAGGAAAAGGTTGAGTGCCCCATCATAATGTCGGCTGACATTTAGAAAGACCATGGAAGCAAAGGTCAAATCACTCTGGTCTTATATGACTTATAAGTTAGCAACTGAAATTAGGCCTGACACTTTATTGTTGTGTCTCTCACCACACAGTATTCCATAATGCTGTGATGAAACAGCCTGTCTTCTTCTCTAACTGTAGCTGGAGGGACAGGTTGTGGCCCTTCTGGTGCAGAACATGGAGAGGCTGGATGAGCAGGTGAAGGAGGAGGCAGATGGAGTCTACAACACGTTAGGTAAGACCCACTGCACAATGATTGGACAAAATATGGGGTTATTTAAATGCTGCCGTGGAGCAGTTGTAGCCCATATTCTGCTAATCTATTTGTCATATCATGTCCTAATGGAATGTGAATCAGTGGGATGCTCTCCACTCTATTCACATAGAAGAAACACATTCAGATTATTGAATCATTAAATTTGGGCTCAGTGCTCCTAGTGTTCTGATGGTGTCTTATCAAGGCAGCTCTCCAGGCTTGAAAAAGCCTTTTGTCTGCTTCCTGGTTGGGGCTCAGAGGCTCATGTCCTCCAGGATGGTGTCTGCTGTCTGCTCAGCTGGAATTAGTGATAAAGGCTTCCCTCTCCTCCAGCAGGCCTCTCTATTTCTCCTTCTCATTGTCCTTCTGTCGGCTCTCTCTGTCCCCCCTCTCTCCATCACTCTCTCCGTCTCTCTCTCTTTGCTTCTCTCTCTCCTTCTCTGCTGGGGTTTTGCCGACCTTCTCCTGGCTGATTGAGATATCAGGTGTCTCAGACGGCTTTATGTTGCAAATATTAGCAAAGGAATCTGAGACCTCTATACTTCTCGGGCGAGGTGCTGTCAGAATCTGAAAGTCTCATATTCGCCTCTCTTCTCTCCCGTCTCTCTCCATCAGCCATCATTGAGAACATGGCAGAGTTCAGGCCTGGCCTGTGCACAGAAGCAGCTCAGCAAGGACTCATGCAGTGGTTGCTAAAGAGAATAAAGGTGAGGATATGACTGAAAATGACACAATCCATGGGTTATTGATGCTATATGTAGAGGTTTTTGCAGGCTGGGTCAGTATGTCTCATTGAAATGTGTCTGTTGTAGAACTAGACCTACAGTATATACAGTGGGGGAAAAAAGTATTTAGTCAGCCACCAATTGTGCAAGTTCTCCCACTTAAAAAGATGAGAGACCTGTAATTTTCATCATAGGTACACGTCAACTATGACAGACAAATTGAGAGAGAAAAAAACCAGAAAATCACGTTGTAGGATTTTTAATGAATTTATTTGCAAATTATGGTGGAAAATAAGTATTTGGTCACCTACAAACAAGCAAGATTTCTGGCTCGCACAGACCTGTAACTTCTTCTTTAAGAGGCTCCTCTGTCCTCCACTCGTTACCTGTATTAATGGCACCTGTTTGAACTTGTTATCAGTATAAAAGACACCTGTCCACAACCTCAAACAGTCACACTCCAAACTCCACTATGGCCAAGACCAAAGAGCTGTCAAAGGACACCAGAAACAAAATTGTAGACCTGCACCAGGCTGGGAAGACTGAATCTGCAATAGGTAAGCAGCTTGGTTTGAAGAAATCAACTGTGGGAGCAATTTTTAGGAAATGGAAGACATACAAGACCACTGATAATCTCCCTCGATCTGGGGCTCCACGCAAGATCTCACCCCGTGGGGTCAAAATGATCACAAGAACGGTGAGCAAAAATCCCAGAACCACACGGGGGGACCTAGTGAATGACCTGCAGAGAGCTGGGACCAAAGTAACAAAGCCTACCATCAGTAACACACTACGCCGCCAGGGACTCAAATCCTGCAGTGCGAGACGTGTCCCCCTGCTTAAGCCAGTACATGTCCAGGCCCATCTGAAGTTTGCTAGAGTGCATTTGGATGATCCAGAAGAGGATTGGGAGAATGTCATATGGTCAGATGAAACCAAAATATAACTTTTTGGTAAAAACTCAACTCGTCGTGTTTGGAGGACAAAGAATGCTGAGTTGCATCCAAAGAACACCATACCTACTGTGAAGCATGGGGGTGGAAACATCATGCTTTGGGGCTGTTTTTCTGCAAAGGGACCAGGACGACTGATCCGTGTAAAGGAAAGAATGAATGGGGCCATGTATCGTGAGATTTTAAGTGAAAACCCCCTTCCATCAGCAAGGGCTTTGAAGATGAAACGTGGCTGGGTCTTTCAGCATGACAATGATCCCAAACACACCGCCCGGGCAACGAAGGAGTGGCTTCGTAAGAAGCCTTTCAAGGTCCTGGAGTGGCCTAGCCAGTCTCCAGATCTCAACCCCATAGAAAATCTTTGGAGGGAGTTGAAAGTCCGTGTTGCCCAGCGACAGCCCCAAAACATCACTGCTCTAGAGGAGATCTGCATGGAGGAATGGGCCAAAATACCAGCTTACAGAAAACTTACAGAAAACTTACAGAAAACGTTTGACCTGTGTCATTGCCAACAAAGGGTATATAACAAAGTATTGAGAAACTTTTGTTATTGACCAAATACTTATTTTCCACCATAATTTGCAAATAAATTCATAAAAAATCCTACAATGTGATTTCCTGGAGAAGAAAAATCTCATTTTGTCTGTCATAGTTGACGTGTACCTATGATGAAAATTACAGGCCTCTCTAATCTTTTTAAGTGGGAGAACTTGCACAATTGGTGGCTGACTAAATACTTTTTTTCCCCACTGTAGGCTTTCAATGGCTCATGCTGTCACTGATTTTGGCATTCATCACCCCCTCCCTTTCTCTTTTTCAGGCAAAGATTCCATTCGATGCTAACAAGCTGTACTGCAGTGAAATCTTGGCTATCTTGCTTCAAAACAATGACAGTAAGTTTACAGCCCTTTCTCTTCTACTTGCTGTACAAAGTGATGAAAACTGCTCTAGTCTAATGTGTTATTGTCGATACACATAGCCACAGAGGTGATTGGTGTGATAAAATAGTAGAGTATCATGACCGGTTAAAGTATACTTTGTTAGCGTCTAAGTGGCTGGGTCCAGAAGGCCTTGTAGTGCTGCAGGACGACAGTCAGGCACTAGGTCCAGAACAATAATGTATTGGGCCACATTGATATTCTGTCCTATCAAATTTTCTTCTTGGTCTCCCCCTCTGAGTGAGTTTAGCTGCCTGGGTCGTCGCTTGACCGGCCTGGATCGATTCATCTTCTCCCACGGCCCCTCTCTCACTATGTTTGTCAATGTTTATGTTCCACAATATTTTTACAGTTTCTCTCTCACTCTCTCTCTGTCTACACCTACCTACCTCCAGGCACCAGGGAGCTCTTGGGGGAGCTGGATGGGATTGACGTGTTACTGCAGCAGCTCTCTGTAAGACTCCTAGTGATTTTACCAACCTGTCTGTTCACATTTTCCTCCTGCTCCTTCTCTCTCTCTGATTCATCATTCTCTCTCTCACACACTCACCTTACATCACACTGTTGAAGTTTCAGCAGCTCATAAGAACTGTCTGTTCTTTACAGGAGTGCTCTATCCATCCCCACTTCATCCTCACATGAACACTCAACCTCAGTTAGATTAGCCTTTTCTGCAGGATTCTTTTGGCTAAGTATTGTAATATTTGATATATTCAAGGCCTCCAGTATAATGCTGTCTAATGCAAATGAATACGATTTTGAAGTGTAACTTGATGCTAGACAGAGTTTCTGCTTACACTGTTTAAAGTGTGCCAATCATTTATTGCATTTATACTGAATTTACCAGCATCACAGTTCTAATTTATTTCTGGCCATGTCAGTTCCCTGGTGATAGACAGGGTTGGGGAGTAATGGATTACATGTAATCTGTTACATGTAACTGATTACCAAAAACTGTAACTGTAATCCGTTACCAGCAAAAATATTGTAATCCGATTACAGATACTTTTGAAAAACAAGTTGAAAACTTCTAGGATTACTTTTAAATTCAGGAAGGATGTTTTTTTCCATACCTTTCTGTTTTCTCAATGACATTCAAGTCAGCATTGAAAAAAGGTGCAACATTTAAGTTTGTTCCCCTGAGTAGTCTGACCACAAGTCAGGGACCATTAGGATGACAAACCAAATGCATATGATGGATTGCGGGAAAAGAGCAGGAATAGGCTTTTGTAGGCTACAGCCCAAGCTATGTCTTCCAGCTGACTGCTGTCAGCATCCAAAGATTATCCAACTTGAGTAAACACTTGGAGGTAAGGATGACAGCAGTGGTGTAGCCTACGGACGATACAGATATCACTTATTATTGATATCTACATAGCGCATTGATGTGAATCATACTGCTGCTCTCTCATTTAGCTATTTGCTCCTTACAGATTGTGGTTGTTGTGGATGGCTGTTCACAAATGTATATGTGTATTTTAACCCCATAATGGTTACATTTAAGAAGTTTAAGCTGCCTATCAATCATTGTTTTTGCGACCAGTGGACAGTAGGGTTGAATATTTTACAAATGTTCCACCCTGAGAACAAATCACTTTTCTCCTGGGTAACCTGGTATTTCCCGCCAAAACCGGAAGCGTTATTCAAAAGCGTTGCATATAAATGTCTGGATTTGAATAGAGCTTTGATTGAAAATTCAAGCCTGACACTACCTGAGTCTGATGAGCCATACATTAAATACATTTTACGAGCCCTACATTTAATGAGCCCAAGCTCAAAAAAGCCCAAATGATTGTGCCGTCATCCAATAAGATAAACTATATGATATAGACTGCTGCACATTAAGCATGACAGAAAAACCTAAAAGCCCATAGATGTAGCTAGCTATATGCTGTCTTGGGTAAATAAATGAAATCTCCAGTAGGCTAATCTTTTTGAGTGTGAACTGTATTGTATTATACTGTATTATATGGACTGGAATTACCCATATCGTTCAAACCGAGATAAAGCAGGGAGAGAACATGCGATTCTGGTGCAGCACATGCGGCCTACGAAGTTACAAGTATAGGCTAGCGAATTTGATTTTGATTTTGAAAAATAATAGTGCCTATTTGTATAATTAGTAGGCTGACGCATATACAGTACCAGTCAAAAGTTTGGACACACCTACTCATTCAAGAGTTTTTCTTTTTTTTAAACTATTTTCTACATTGTAGAATAATAGCGAAAACATCAAAACTATGAAATAACACATGGAATCATTTAGTAACCAAAAAAGTATTAAACAAATCAAAATATATTTTATATTTGAGATTCTTCAAGTAGCCACCCTTTGCCTTGATGACAGCTTTGCACACTCTTGGCATTCTCTCAACCAGCTTCACCTGGAATGTTTTTCCAACAGTCTTGAAGGAGTTCCCACATATGCGGAGCACGTGTTGGCTGCTTTTCCTTCACTCTGCCGTCTGACTTATCCCAAACCATCTCAATTGGGTTGAGGTCGGGGGATTGTGGAGGCCAGGTCATCTGATGCAGCACTCCATCACTCTCCTTGTTGGTAGAATAGCCCTTACACAGCCTGGAGGTGTGTTGGGTCATTGTCCTGTTGAAAAACACATGATAGTCCCACTAAGCCCAAACCAAATGGGATGGCGTATCGCTACAGAATGCTGTGGTAGCCATGCTGGTTAAGTGTGCCTTGAATTCTAAATAAATCACAGACAGTGTCACCAGCAAAGCACCCCCACACCATAACACCTCCTCCTCCATGCTTTACGGTGGGAACTACACATGCAGAGATCATCCGTTCACCCACACTGCGTCTCACAAAGACACGGCGGTTGGAACCAAAAATCTCTGATTTGGACCTGTCTAATGTCCATTGCTCGTGTTTCTTGGCCCAAGCAGGTCTCTTCTTCTTATTGGTGTCCTTTAGTAGTGGTTTCTTTGCAGCAATTCGACCATGAAGACCTGATTCACACAGTCCACTCTGAACAGTTGCTGTTGAGATGTGTCTGACTTGAACTCTGTGATGCATTTATTTGGGCTGCAATTTCTGAGGCTGGTAACTCTAATGAACTTATCCTCTGCAGCAGAGGTAACTTTGGGTCTTCCATTCCTATGGCAGTCCTCATAAGAGCCAGTTTCTTCATAGCGCTTGATGGTTTTTGCGAAGTTCAAAGTTCTTGACATTTTCCATTTGACTGACCTTCATGTCTTCATGAACTGTCGTTTCTCTTTGCTTATTTGAGCTGTTCTTGCCATAATATGTACTTGGTCTTTTACCAAATAGGGCTATCTTCTGTATACCAACCCTACCTTGTCACAACACAACTGATTGGCTCAAACGCATTAAGAAGGAAAGAAATTCCACAAATGAACTTTTAAGAAGGCAAACCTGTTAATTGAAATGCATTCCAGGTGACTACCTCATGAAGCTGGTTGAGTGAATGCCAAGAGTGTGCAAAGCTGTCATCAAGGCAAAGGGTGGCTATTTGAAGAATCTCAAATATGTTTTGATTTGTTTAACACTTTTTTGGTTACTACATGATTCCATATGTGTTATTTCATAGTTTTGATGTCTTCACTATTATTCTACAATGTAAAAAATAAAGAAAAACCCTGGAATGAGTAGGTGTGTCCAAACTTTTGACTGGTACTGTATACCTTTCATAATATTTTTCCTAATGTTATTAGCCTACCTCTTTCTTTATTGTTGCTTCATTCCTTCCTCGCTTTCAACAGTTAAGGACAGCAAAACTTATTTCATTTATCTTCATCATTCTAATGACATCCTTGAATAATATAGGACTAGAATGAGATGCAGAAGGCCTTCACTTCTCTTCACGAAGATTAAATGGTTATGGGGCTGAATAAATAACTGCTATAGCCTACCGCCATCGCACGTTCGCTCTTATTTCAAACTACCCGTGAGTTGTATTGGCTGCTGTATTTAACATTCAGCAAAAAAGAGGTTGCATCCTCTTCGAATAGTATATTGGTATAAGAAATGCAAAAAAAATAATGTCCAGCAAGCTATTCTAGTCCAAGAGCTAAGGAGTGTTTTCTAGGGAGAGGCCAGCGGAGCACAGTTGTGTGCGTATTGCACAAGAGACAGCGGCTATAAGTTAGAAGCTTATTATGCATAACCAATCATTAATTAGCTAAATATAAGGCTAATACTGCATTGACATTATTACCTGAAAGAGGTATTCTAGGACATCTATGTATAGGGCTATATATTGGTCTAGAACAGGATTATCTATTTTGGATGCAATTTGAATGGAGTTGATGGAGAGCAAAAGACTGCGACAGAGTGCTCGCGCATGCACTGATTTTAAAGCAACGATATTCGAGTGATTTTAAAACTCTGCAGCTGCAATTTGAATAAATAAATAATATTTACAGTTAAAAAATTTGACCCCAGAAAGCCAGATTGAGATGGGTAAATTAGACGCGCATTCGGTCTTTACATTACTGTAGCAGATTTAGGCAGCAGATTTAGGCCTACATGTCACAAGAAAAAAAGTTAGAATGATGAGATCATAGGTCTACATGCATTGTGAACTGCGTTCCATACTGAGATGGGTGGTCTGTCCCCACCCTGAGTGTTGATTCATCATGTAGAGGCCATAGATACGCCAGATTTAGACATTGCATATACGGTAATTGAACGGTTCCATTTCACGTCATGTTGTTCGTATAAGTCATTTATTATAGTTACATTTTCACAATGGTTTATCCCGGAAAAAGGGAGTGATTTTGGGCGGTAAATCTCGGTAACCGGAAAATGTGCTCTTGCAACACCTGCATAATGCGGATCCCAGCCTATGGAATAAAGATTTGTGTTCCTCCCTTCTAAACTCTTCTGTGGTATTGTGCTCCATACAGTCAAAAACAAGTTTAATTTAAGAAGACCACGAGTGGAGCTTTTATTGCTCAATCTAATTCGTGTTGATTCAAAATAGTATTCTATAGGCCTAACAGACATATGATCAAACTCGCACACTTTTGATGATAGACTTAAACAGCTGAAAATTATCACGATATGAAAGTGTCACCAACAAAAACGTAAACAAATGAGGCATATGCCATTAATTTCTCACATGCAAATAGCACTTTTCGGTAGTGCTCAAAGCATGCCACTCCATGAGAGCAGCATTTCTTTTTCAACTAGAAACAATGAGCCCAATCGGTCCTCCATGACAACAAAATCATAAACAACAGAGTAGGCTAATAAATCCTTAGTTTTTGGGTTATGCTCATATTTCCAAGTCCTATTTTTGAAGATCAAGGGGTATTATATTAATTGGAATGACTGGAAATCTGACATAATGTAAAGAGAGCCTAATCGTATTATTATTGTCTGTAGTATAAAGCAATGGATTAGTACATAACCAAGCCATAAAGTAAAATGCAACATCCATTTATGGCCAGCTATGTAAACCCCTACCATTGATTTATCCTGCAATAGATGTCGTTCAATTGGTAATGTTCATTTTTGTCTTCTCCTAATGCCTGTTAAGGGGAAAGTAATCTAAAATGAACTGTAAGTAATCAGATTACGTTACTGAGTTTGGGTAATCCAAGTGTTACATTACTGATAAAAATGTTGGACAGGTAACTAGTAACTAACGGATTACATTTAGAAAGTAACCTACCCAACCCTGGTGATGGACAGTAGAAGTGTGGGTGTCATTTTACTTCAGGTGTTCAAGCGCCACAACCCAGCCACGGCAGAGGAGCAGGAGATGATGGAGAACCTGTTTGATGCCCTGTGCTCCTGTCTGATGCTGGCTGCCAACCGGGACCGCTTCCTCAGGGGAGAGGGTCTGCAGCTCATGAACCTCATGCTTAGGTAAAGACCTTGATGTTGAACGCCTCCACACACACAGTTCCGTTTTGAATATTTCAGTAATTTAATGTCCTAAGCTGTCGGCTAAAACAAACCATCCAAGTACCTCCTCAAAGGAGGACGAGGGTGGATATGGACAGTTTCTTGGCTTGTCTCTAGGCCTTTTTTAAACCCTCCTTTCAATTCACACTGGTCACTGGTGATCTGATATCTAAGTAGGGATATACAGTGCATTTGGAAAGTATTCAGACCCCTTCAATTTATCCACATTTTGTTACGTTACAGCCTTATTCTAAAATGGATTAAATTGTATTTTTTCCTCATCAATCTACACACAATACCCCATAATGACAAAGCCCATAATGACAAAGCGAAAACAGGTTTTTAGAAATTATAGCATATTTATTTTAAAAACCTCACTCACATTTACACAAGTATTCAGACCCTTTACTCAGTACTTTGTTGAAGCACCTTTGGCAGTGATTACAGCCTCTACTCTTCTTGGGTATGACGCTACATGCTTGGCACACCTTTATTTGGGGAGTTTCTCCCATCCTTCTCTGCAGATCCTCTCAAGCTCTGTCAGGTTGGATGGGGAGCGTCGCTGCACAGCTATTTTCAGGTCTCTCCTGAACCTTCGCCCCAGTCTGAGGTCCTGAGCGCTCTGGAGCAGGTTTTCATTAAGGATCTCGCTGTACTTTGCTCCGTTCATCTTTCCCTCGATCCTGACTATTCTTCCAATCCCTGCCGCTGAAAAACATCCCCACAGCATGATGCTGCCACCACCATGCTTCACCATAGGGATGGTACCTGGTTTCTTCCAGACGTGACGCTTGGCATTCAGGCCAAAGAGTTAAATCTTGATCTGTGCCTCGACACAATCCTGTCTCGGAGCTCTATGGACAGTTCCTTCAACCTCATGGCTTGATTTTTGCTCTGACATGCACTGTCAACTGTGGGACCTTATATAGACAGGTGTGTGCCTTTCCAAATCATGTCCAATCAATTGAATTTACCACAGATGGACTCCAATCAAGTTGTAGAAACATCTCAAGGATGATCAATGGAAACAGGATGCCCTGAGCTCAATTGCAGGTCTCATAGCATAGGGTCTGAATACTTATGTAAATAAGTTATGTTTTTTATTTTTAATATATTTGCAACAATTTCTAAAAACCTGTTTTCGCTTTGTCGTAATGGGGTATTGTGAGTAGATTGAGGAAAAACATTTAATCAATTTTAGAATAAGCCTGTAACGTAACAAAATGTGGAAAAAGTGAAGGGGTCTGAATACTTTCCGAATGCACTGTATGTACATTGACATCTTTGATGTCAACCTTTGTTTGCTGTTAATGCTGTCGGAGGGCACACCATGCCCCCCAGGAAGTGGCAGGTTGAGTGATGTCTTTCTGTTCACACAGCACGTCTCTGACTCTGCTCAGCTGCCAGTCCAATCAATCAGTCGACACGGCGATGAAACATCACGACCTTAAAGACATTACATATATTTATGAAACTCTCCATGCCCAAGCTCTAATCATCATGCCGACGCCCGGCAGACAGCCCGATTAAAACAAAAATCGATATCTATACTGAACAAAAATATAAGCGGAACATGCAACAATTTCTAAGATTTTACGGAGTTACAGTTCATATGAGGAAATCAGTCGGTTAAATTTTTTTTATTAGGTCCTGATCTATGGATTTCACATGACTGGGAATACAGATAAGCATCTGTTGGTCACAGAAAAAAATGTGCCACATAATGGTCCTCAGGATTTTGTCACAGTATTTTAGTGTATTCAAATTGCCATTGATAAAATGCAAATGTGTTTGTTGTCCGTATCTTATGCTTGCCCATACCATAACCCCACCGCCACCATGGGGCACTCTGTTGACAACGTTGACATCAGCAAACCGCTCGCCCACATGACGCCATACACATGGTCTGCGGTTGTGAGGCTGGTTGGACGTACTGGAGGCGGCTTATGGTAGAGAAATTAACATTAAATTCTCTGGCAATAGCTCTGGTGGACATTCCTGCAGTCAGCATGCCAATTGCACGCTCCCTCAAAACTTGTTGCACCTGTGTAATGATCATGCTTTTTAATCATCTTCTTGATATGCCACACCTGTCAGGTGGATGGATTATCTTGGCAAAGGAGAAATGCTCACGAACAGGGATGTATGCAAAAAATTTTCCCACAACATTTTAGAGAAATAAGCTTTTTGTGCACATGGAACATTTCTGGGATCATTTATTTCTGCTCATGAAACATGGGACCAACACTTTACATGTTGCATTTATATTTTTGTTCAGTGTAATTATAGCAATGCAAAATCCACTTTTATATCATCCACAGGAGAAGGCTTTCAGAATGGGTTATCTAGGGAGGAACATGCAACTCTCTTTTCACTTTCACTTCCCATGAGATTCACAGAATCATAAGTTCTGCACCTCTGCTTCAATAGTTCTCTATTTTTGTAGAGGTTAGGCTTTGTCAAGGGGTTTGCAATATGAGCTTAGGAACACGGTTGAAGGCATCTTTATAATTGCCTCTGTCTGCCTTCTTAAAACCGTTTAACTTTGTCTCAAAAATATACTACCTCATAAGCTGCAGAAACTTTGTGTTATGAGGAGTTATCGTTAAAGGACTGCCAATAGATATAGCTAGGTGAGAGGGACTCCATGTTGCTACGTCACAAAGTCTGTGTGCCTGGCAAAATACCATACTGAACATGCTGCATACCTCTGCTGTGAGCTAGCTGTTGTGCCAGAGATAATTGAGCTCTTCTGAATGTTTTATTTTGTGCACTTCCCAGGGAAAAGAAAATGTCTCGGACCAGCGCTCTGAAGGTCTTAGACCACGGCATGATTGGCCCAGAGGGTTCTGATAACTGCCACAAGTTTGTGGACATCCTGGGCCTGAGGACCATCTTCCCCCTGTTCATGAAGACCCCTAAAAAGATTAGGAAAGTTGGGACGGTAGACAAAGAACATGAAGGTTTGCTAATTTCTCAATACACTGCAAATTTCCTTTGGAAACAATGACATTATTCTGTTTGTCTGACATTACATTACAGTAGATATTTCCTAAGCAAAAGCTTATAGCTGTCCCACTTTGTGTACCCAAAACACAATTTACCATGGCAGGATATCTAATCAGGTTTGTTTCATGGCTTTTTAGTCTGTTGATTATGTTATCAATTTAGCCTTGATTCATTTGAAACCACTCTTGCGTTGTGAAATAAGAAAATGCTTATCAACCACCCTCCCCTCCCCCCTTTTGATGAGGTGGTCAGCCAACAGGAAAACATCGCTCTCTCTCTCTAATTATATTTCATACGTCCTGACAGCCCACCCAAGGTGAACAAATTGGCTTCCTTTGTCTGTCCCCTTCATCTGGGGGACAGAATTAATTAACCTGAGACCTGCAGAATAGCCCGAGATAACAGGGCCTGCTAAAGCTTATCCCCCTGGTGCTCCCATTGATGGACCTCCCACTAGTCACAGCCAAGCCAGCCAGCCATGAAGTATGGTTACACTACTGTGCTGTGTGCAGCTTTTAATGCTTAGAGTAATTGTGTAACGTACCCTTGGACTATAATAACCCTTTTCATATGCCTAGGCATGTCCCTAATGCATAGCATAATTTATTGACTAAGATGGGCCTATTTACTTAAATTAAAATGTGTTATGTTTGTGTCCTTACATCATTTGCGTTGTATTTATTATTTTGAGTGAAAACAATTATAAAGTAGTGTATGCATTATTTAGCACTTTTGCAACATTTTGAAAGTCATCGCTTTTTCATAATCTAGCAGTGACATTTTAGAATGCTTATTACATTTATATTGTTTTGAGGGTGTATGATATCCACATGACCATAGGATTTGTCATATAGTATGTGACACTAATTAGACTTAGTGGCTCCTCCTTTGCTGTAATTGAAAAACGGAGGGGAAAATTGGTTCTCAAGAATAACACAATACAGTCATAAATTAATTAATTATCAGCGGCTACAAATGAGAGTTTAAGTAATTAAGAGGCAAAGCACTCTCCAAACCTCTCTTTCTCTCCATCATATACCGAGAGATTGATCCCCATGAAATCGCCTCTGAAAATATACTGAGGCCCAATGGCTGGGAATTGTCAGACAACATTTGCATGCATAATAAGATCATCAAGAGAAGATGTTATGAGAAAAAGTATTGCAGAGGATCTTTGTAGATAGCCTACCTTTTTAGGTCTGTATTCATTTCCATTTGCTAATGTTGTGCATAGATCTAATGAGATTCTGGATGTACTGATGGTGGAAGACTATATTTAGCAAGCTAATGATGCACACAGTGTGGTAGAACAGAAGTAAACAGCTCATTTACATCCAGCAGCACAGTAGTTCTGACCGCAGCCCTTTATAGTCTGTTTTGTTTTCCTTGGACGCCTTTGAGTGTTTCTTTAATGTCTCTACTATTCCCCCGTTTTCACATCATACTAAAATTACATTAGAAGAATAGGAGCTGTAGTGATGTTTTTTATGAGATCACTATGTTTTAGGTGATAAGCCTAGTTAACAAATATTGTGATCAGTGCACAATACCACACTGATTTTAATCTACCACTAGTCTCAATCCTTTGAACTCAAGCTGGATGATTAGTTGCTGTATTAGAGCCCTGTTCACAGTCTCCTGTGTTGTCAATGAGGGATTTCGATAATGGGGAACTCATGCATAGCTGCATACAGATCTCTTTGAATTGGTTTGAAACTTGGTCAATCCATTTTGTTGATGCTGATACCCAGCAGTGATAGGAGCCATAGTGAAGCCATCACATGGGTGTTGACAATCAAAATAACTTATGAAGCCACCATGTCAGTGATTTCTTCCCCTGGACTATTCTAATCAGGTATAGTGGGAGCCTCAGACAGTGTAGACGAGAGCCCGTACCTTGCAGAGGTGCCTGTGGTCTGGTCTGAGGGTTGATTGCTTTCCTCAGGGCACGGCTGGTTCAGGTTCAATCTCTCTCCTGCAGAGAGCTGTCAGGACCTCCTCTACTGCTCCTCTGAGCTCTATTGCCTCGTGGCCCTCTTTGCTATTTGCATGTTAACTTAAAGCTGAGATCTGCATTAACGAAACATCGCCGCTGGCCGCCCCCGGCACATTTATTATTGTTTTTGTTTTGTTTAAAATCCCCATCAAAATCCGTCAGTTTAAGATAGAGATATCTCAATCCACCGCATCCGCCTATGTCTGCCTTCCGCATCTGCGGTGGAAGGAAGGTGGCCAAGCTACAGCTGTGTTTGTCGACCATGAGACATCCTGAAAATCGCTCTTCTCACGAAAACGTCTGTAGCGTCCGAACAGTTTGGCCTACAAACTAAAATGACCACTCTATGGAAAGATGAGACTCTCACGAACACGATGGTGTTCTCCGTCTGATGTGCCAACTTCTGTAGCGTCTGAACCATCATGAGACTCGTCGGAAGGTAACTGTTACTGGTAAAACATTTTTTATGGAGGTAGTTTTGTGCCCTCCAAAAAACTAAAATATTTCCTTAGCTTTCTTATATATCCTAGATATAGGAAAGACACTTCAAAACCTTATTCCTTATGATGTATTTTTTGACTGTCTGTTTTGCCATTTACGAATGTGTTATTCAATGCGTTACTATGAGCTATAGTAGGAAAGGCCAAATTAAATATTTTAGACTTACAACTAATTGACCGACGTAGGTTTAATTACTTGAATTACTTTTTTTCCCTTCTTTTTTTTGTGAGCTTAACGTGCCGTCGCTCTAGAGAGATCTATTCATTCACAAAATAAATCAAGTCAAGAACTATGTGGACACTGGGCTGACGGGTGTTTGTAGTTTTCATTTAAGCAAATATTCAACCTAGTTCAGCGCAGAAACGTGGTAATTAACTGCAAAGCCCATAATCCATTGTGCCATTTTTTCCCGGATCAGAGACGAAGAGGCGAAGCAAGAGGTTTACTCTTTCCAAAGTCTGTCCAAAATAAGCGCAATGCATTTCTATGGGCTTATTTTGGACCTAAGCTTGTCGCCTGCCTTCCCGCCTTTGGGACAATGACTCCCATTGTTAGTGCGTAGACATGAGCATCTCGTCATTATATACAGATCTCTGGATGGATACACTTTTACTCCTGCTACGTTAGGTTAGATACACACAGACTGCATGAGAGAGGAATGTACACAACATAACGAGGGACAGAGACAGTTCGTGAAAGTATGCCTTATATACTTTGAAGCACCCGAGTGGCGCAGTGGTCTAAGGCACTGCATCGCAGTGCTAGCTGTGCCACTAGAGATCCTGGTTCGAATCCAGGCTCTGTCGTAGCCGGCCGCGACCGGGAGACCCATGGGGCGGCGCACAATTGGCCTAGTGTCGTCCAGGGTAGGGGAGGGAATGGCCGGCAGGGATGTAGCTCAGTTGGTAGAGCATGGCATTTGCAACGCCAGGGTTGTGGGTTCGATTCCAGTATAAAAAAATAAATTTAAAAAATGTATGCACTCACTAACTGTAAGTCGCTCTGGATAAGAGCGTCTGCTAAATGACTAAAATGTAAATGTAAAAAATATTTCATCAGACAGCTCTGCAGCATAGGCTACTTTGGCAGGCTAGCTAAATAGGATGACTAAAGGCAGTATGGGGAGAACATAATGTTAGATGGCCTGGCTGGCTGACTGCTACTGCCTGAGCAGAGATGAGATGATTACTTTAAGGAATTAAAAATAAAGTCATCAAATGAAAACTAAGTAATATACGCAACTGAAATATTTTATTATTTCATAGTCATTTCCTATTTGTCTATTGATGTCTACCCAATGTGGACCTGATTATAGACAATGGAATATTTTCAATGTTTTGGCAATTGAATGTTCACTATTTCTGGCTTTTGGAATTTCCATTAAAAAAATAATTGTAAAGTAATTATTTCATAATGCGTTTCATGTTTAATAAAATTAGCGAAACCGAAATTGAAAACCGTGATTATTTTGTAATAATCAAACCGAAACTGAACCGACCTCAAAAAGCACTAATCGCTCAGCACTACCATTAACACATTAATCTGTATTTAAATTAACTGACAGCCATTTTGTTTGCCTAATGGCTTCTTCGTGAGCACAGTGAGCTGTATTTGACTCACTGATTGAAATTACATTGGTCTGCCTGATGTTTTATAGAATCGTGATACGGAGAGAGTTGGATAAATCATTAACAAAACATTTAATCAACCATATTTCACTAATTAAGCACGTTCACCCATTCCTTTTATTTCTACACTAATTACGTTGGGGAATTATCTTATGGACCATATTAGGAAGAAAAAAATTAATGAAGACCCTCTATTTCTTTTTAAAAGCATTTAGCCTAACATAACCCAACCACGTGGAACCAACCAAGTGTGGGTACAGAAAGTGGCCTGACGGGTGGCAAGGTTTTGCTTTGTGCAATTACTGTAACAGGAACCCTTCAAAACCAAGCAGTTCACGATAGTATTACATGCCGTAAGTATGCCTAAAACCTGCAGTAGCCTATTTATCAGCAGCAATTCATAACATTGACTAAGTTACATACATGTAATGGAGCCATGATTACTGCTAGGTGTTCAAGTGGAAGCCTGTGGAAGGTCACACTGCGACCATGGCCCTGTGGCTAATGGCTTTTCTCATTGAGGGGCTCTGGAGTGTGCCGTATTGAAGAGACTCATTCACAGACCTCATCCTCCTATCCTGATAACAGAGAGGAGCAGGTCTGGCCTAGGGTGAAGGCCAGGACTGCATCTGAAATGGAAACCTATTCCCTATATAGTGCACTACTTTTGACTAGGGCCCATGGCTCTTGTTAAAAGTAGTGAACTATAAAGGGAATAGGGTGGCATTTAAGACGCAGGCCAAGTGGTACAGTAACACACTCAGACTTTGAGTTGAACTGCCACTGACTGGTACTTGTTCCACAGCCTTCTGCAGCTCAGCCCAGGGAGAGTCTTAGCAGTGGTCCCAATCCTTCACCAGAGGCACTTTTTATGCTAGCTTTAATGATGTCCTAATTTACCCAGCCAGCCACCACACACCCACTGTGACACTGGTCCTCTGGAGGTAGGGAAAGAGAGAGCTGAGACAGCACTTCCTTTCTGTGGTGCTGTTTGATTAACATGCTGCTGCTCTGTTTGTTTACTTCCTGAATTTGATATCCTTGTTATTGTACAGTATTTGATGGGGGAAATAGGCCTATCACTGTGACTGCCAAAAGATGAGTTTATAGTTAGTAAGAGGATGGCTGATATTTTTCCATTGAAATATATTTGTTTGGTCCTGTATTCTTGCCTTGCTCAGTTATTTGCCTGTTCATTTTCATTTTAAAAAGCTGTAGATTTCTTCTCAGCATGGTGGAGCTCCTAAAGCTTGAGGTGACAGCAGCTCCTCCCATGCCATCAGTAGTCTAACGACACCCCCTCACCGGATGACGAGGGAATGTCTTAATCAGCATCGATCTTGTGAACCAAATGTCAGACGCCCCCAAATTGGCTGGAGACGGTGTTCTGTTTGTGGAGAGTGCCCTGTAGCGATCAATAACCTCCCACGGTGGTGTCAAGGTGCTGACTACAATTACCACTCGGGTTATGTTGACAAACTAGTGTCCCCGGAAGTTATATTCCCCTCATTATGTGCAGATAGTAGACAGTCCACTTGTTGACATTAGATTAAGATGGTAATTAACTCTCATAATAAACACAAACTGTTAATGATAAAACTAGTGAATAGATTTGTGAGTTTTGATTTGTATGCACTTATCTCTCTTACAAAATGTGTTGATAAATGGCACATGGGAGAGCAGTATTAAACCAAAATATAGTCAAGTCTTGTGCTTGTTGCTTAGCAACTTCCAAGATAAATTGAATTTAGAGATTGACCTCTTAAGTCAAATTACAGTTTTGTGTCAGCATGTAACTGTTATTTTCCCATCTTTTGTTTTAGTATTTTGTGTATGGCTGATTCATAAGTATATTATTTTGTCAGATTTAGGCCTAAATGTCAGATGCAGGTGTAAGCTGGAACAAAATGTGTGTGTCTCTGGGGTAGAGTAAATGTTCCGTGACGCGTGCGTTTGGTTATTAGGTTAACAAGAGCAATCGTAGGACCAATTGCCTTTTGTTACTAATTTGATCAATTAACCAGAGGTTTTGGAGCCCAGGCTCATTAAATGGCCACACACCCTCTACAGAAGGGCTTTTTATCCCCACAATAAAATTATATTAAATGACAAGCATAATGGTTGTGGAGCATTACAGCCAGCCTTTAATGAAAATAGATTTTTACATTTCATTACTTTGTATTTTTTCCCTGCTAAGATTTTCCATGCTTATCTCTGCATAGTAATAGCAAATTATCATCAGTTTTAATCATTTATATTTTTCCATTCCTGCCACTGCCCGATTGTAACCTGATCTTGGAATATAATGAGTTTTACAATAGTCTATTGCTCCTATGAATTCTGAAAATGCATAATATTTTCACGCACAGTATAATATTAGCACTGTGGGTTCAATAACACTAGGCTACTTCTAACCCCTCATGAAGATGAAGCTGAGCTACCTTGATGAAGCCATAGTGGAACTGATATTGTTCTTTTCTCTTTGCAGAACACGTGTGTTCCATCATAGCTTCCTGCCTGCGGAACCTGAAAGCCCAGCAGAGGACGAGGCTTCTCAGCAAGTTCACTGAGAACGACTGTGAGAAGGTGAGATCTTCACGGATCCACCACTGTGTGCAGATTTTAAAAAATCCCCAATATTTCTTAAAAAACGCATTAGGAAAATCAGCCCCATTCAGGTTTTACATGTTCAGTTCCACGATAGAAGTCCCCTGGTACAGGTGTGAGCTTGTGTTGATCAGCCTGTGATTGGTCACTATTATTGACTGAAATGTTGATCCTGTGTTGGGAAGAGTTATTAACCTCACCACCAGTGACTCTACCTGAGTGGTGCTACAGACACAGACCGACACGGTCGTAGACATACAACATGCCAGCCTCTGGCTGTCTGAATCCTATTTTCTCCCTACCTGGGGGTTTTGTATGCATAGTGCCTTTCATTGGTGTCTGATGTCTTCTCCCTCTGTCCTACAGGTTGATAGACTGATGGAGCTGCATTTTAAGTACCTGGAAGCTGTTCAGCTGGCTGACAAGAGGATTGAAGGAGAGAAACACGTAAGGGTCCTATCCCTCACCCCCTCCGCTACCAACAGCCTGCATTATAACCTTGACTGACAATAAATCTGAAACAAGGGCAGATAAGTGTCCAGATAAGAAGAGTCATTTTAGATAGTCTTGTAATTGTCACAACTTCAGGACTTGAGGCTAGCTTGGAGAGAGGCTGGAATCTTTGATATAAATCCAATTCCCAAATGTAATGTTATTATCTACATTAAGAAACTCCCCACCTTGTGTTGCATGGACCCACTCAGAATATGCTGCTTTGTGAGAGTTATGTCTGCTTGCTTGTTGTGGCTGGAATCCCTCTCCATTGTTACAGGCAGAGATGCCCAATGAGATCCGATCAGCCACAGGTAAGCAAGGCAGTGTTTCATTCTGATGCCCTGTGGTCCCAGAGAATGTGTGAGGCCCAGACCAGTCTGTAGGCGGTGCTCTGCTGTGCTCCCTCAGACAGATGGAAGGAGCCAGATAAGAGCTGAGAAGTCTCTTCTCCAGCAGGAGAAAGAGGAAAGGAGAAGGTAATAGAGTTTTAAGAAGGAGATAGCGTTGAGATTCATATCTGATGAGAGATTAATTATTTGACTCCCATTGGTTTGAAATTGCAAATAAAAGGGTGACAGCTTGACACGGCTTGACATTCCCCATTACTTTTGAGTGACCAAGTAACAACCAAAGAACACATTTCCTGTCTTCGCTATCTTGATACACATGGATAGCCCTAGTACATTGTTCAAAATGAGAATGTATATACACTGCTCAAAAAAATAAAGGGAACACTTAAACAACACAATGTAACTCCAAGTCAATCACACTTCTGTGAAATCAAACTGTCCACTTAGGAAGCAACACTGATTGACAATAAATGTCACATGCTGTTGTGCAAATGGAATAGACAACAGGTGGAAATTATAGGCAATTAGCAAGACACCCCCAATAAAGGACTGGTTTTGCAGGTGGTGACCACAGACCACTTCTCAGTTCCTATGCTTCCTGGCTGATGTTTTAGTCACTTTTGAATGCTGGCGGTGCTTTCACTCTAGTGGTAGCATGAGACGGAGTTACAACCCACACAAGTGGCTCAGGTAGTGCAGCTCATCCAGGATGGCACATCAATGCGAGCTGTGGCAAGAAAGTTTGCTGTGTCTGTCAGCGTAGTGTCCAGAGCATGGAGGCGCTACCAGGAGACAGGCCAGTACATCAGGAGACGTGGAGGAGACCATAGGAGGGCAGCAACCCAGCAGCAGGACTGCTACCTCCGCCTTTGTGCAAGGAGGAGCAGGAGGAGCACTGCCAGAGCCCTGCAAAATGACCTCCAGCAGGCCACAAATGTGCATGTGTCTGCTCAAACGGTCAGAAACAGACTCCATGAGGGTGGTATGAGGGCCCGACGTCCACAGGTGGGGGTTGTGCTTACAGCCCAACATCGTGCAGGACGTTTGGCATTTTCCAGAGAACACCAAGATTGGCAAATTCGCCACTGGCGCCCTGTGCTCTTCACAGATGAAAGCAGGTTAACACTGAGCACATGTGACAGACGTGACAGAGTCTGGAGACGCCGTGGAGAACGTTCTGCTGCCTGCAACATCCTCCAGCATGACCGGTTTGGCGGTGGGTCAGTCATGGTGTGGGGTGGCATTTCTTTGGGGGACCGCACAGCCCTCCATGTGCTCGCCAGAGGTAGCCTGACTGCCATTAGGTACCGAGATGAGATCCTCAGACCCCTTGTGAGACCATATGCTGGTGCGGTTGGCCCTGGGTTCCTCCTAATGCAAGACAATGCTAGACCTCATGTGGCTGGAGTGTGTCAGCAGTTCCTGCAAGAGGAAGGCATTGATGCTATGGACTGGCCCGCCCGTTCCCCAGACCTGAATCCAATTGAGCACATCTGGGACATCATGTCTCGCTCCATCCACCAACGCCACGTTGCACCACAGACTGTCCAGGAGTTGGCGGATGCTTTAGTCCAGGTCTGGGAGGAGATCCCTCAGGAGACCATCCGCCACCTCATCAGGAGCATGCCCAGGCGTTGTAGGGAGGTCATACAGGCACGTGGAGGCCACACACACTACTGAGCCTCATTTTGACTTGTTTTAAGGACATTACATCAAAGTTGGATCAGCCTGTAGTGTGGTTTTCCACTTTAATTTTGAGGGTGACTCCAAATCCAGACCTCCATGGGTTGATAAATTTGATTTCCATTGATAATTTTTGTGTGATTTTGTTGTCAGCACATTCAACTATGTAAAGAAAAAAGTATTTCATAAGATTATTTCATTCATTCAGATCTAGGATGTGTTATTTTAGTGTTCCCTTTTATTTTTTTGAGCAGTGTAGTTTGGTTACAGATTGAAGAAACGTAGTTAACTAATACTTTAAGTATCTTATTTCAGTCCTGGCTGGGATGTACTCTCATGTCTTGTATCTTTAAAGATGCCATTTCCTGCTGTGTCCTGTGCCTCCTCCACTTCCTTTGTACAACTGGCTGCTGTCAGCAGTTCCGTTTTTATTACTCCACTCTCGTTCAGGTGTTATTTTTTAGGGTAAGCAAAATGTTTTCCTTTTCTACTCTACCAGAATTTAATAAGCTGCTTATTTCCCCTCCCTCATCCCTCTTTCTTGGTGATAATAATAAGGATCCTCTTGGAGATTGATTAAGTAAAGAAAAACATGTCTGAGACTGACCTCAATATAGCAAAATTCCTCTGCAGTATTGAGAACCCGGGAATCTCAGTTGTCTGCATATGATTAAACTAATCTCATCTTCTATTTAAAGGTTGTGTTAAGGCCCTGGGAATTAGTCCCCACGTCTGCCCCCCCCCCCCCCCCCCCCCCAACCCTTCATCTACTCTCTCTCCCCCCTCTCTCTCATGTCTGCTTTCGAGGCAGACCGAGGCAGAGAGATGGTATCAAGAGAGAAGACGGTGCTAAGTTGCTGTGAAATTGATTAGTGCCGACTAGTAATTACTGCTGTAGCCCCTGTCAGGTTAGTCAGGTCTCTGCTGACTGCAGGCAGGGAACGAGGAGTAGTCTAACTTCCTCCAGCTCCTCTAGGAGCCACACTATCCTAATGGTCATGCTATAGACATAGACATAGACATACAGGGCTGCACATTCTGCACGCAAACTGCATCCATAACTGGAGGTATCGATGCTAAAAGGATTTCAAAGGAGAAAGTAACAACGGCTCAGCCGCGAAGTGGTACACCACACAAGCTCACAGTAGGGGACCACAGAGTGCTGAAGTGCGTAGCGCGTCAAAATCGTCTGTCCTCAGTTGCAACACTCACTACCGAGTTCCAAACTGCCTCTGGAAGCAACGTCAGCACAAGAACTGTTTGTCGGGAGCTTCATGAAATGGGATTCCATGGCCGAGCAGCCGCACACAAGCCTAAGATCACCATGCTCAATGCCAAGTGTCGGCTGGAGTGGTGTAAAGCTTGCCGCCATTGGACTCTGGAGCAGTGGATAAAGTGTTCTCTGGAGTGAGGAATCACGCTTCACCATCTGACAGTCTGACGGCGGATCTGGGTTTGGCAGATGCCAGGAGAACGCTACCTGCCCAAATGCATAGTGCCAACTGCAAAGTTTGGTGGAGGAGGAATAATGGTCTGGGGCTGTTTTTCATGGTTCTGGCTAGGTTCCTTAGTCCCAGTGAAGGGAAATCATAACACTACAGCATACAATGACATTAGGGCTGTCCCGACAAAAACAAATGTTGTTCGACCGACATTTTTTAACGTATATTTTTCCATATATAGACACACCCAGTGTTTTAATAAAATCAACTACACTGCTCAAAAAAATTAAGGGAACACTAAAATAACACATCCTAGATCTGAATGAATGAAATAATCTTATGAAATACTTTTTTCTTTACATAGTTGAATGTGCTGACAACAAAATCACACAAAAATTATCAATGGAAATCAAATTTATCAACCCATGGAGGTCTGGATTTGGAGTCACCCTCAAAATTAAAGTGGAAAACCATACTACAGGCTGATCCAACTTTGATGTAATGTCCATAAAACAAGTCAAAATGAGGCTCAGTAGTGTGTGTGGCCTCCACGTGCCTGTATGACCTCCCTACAACGCCTGGGCATGCTCCTGATGAGGTGGCGGATGGTCTCCTGAGGGATCTCCTCCTAGACCTGGACTAAAGCATCCGCCAACTCCTGGACAGTCTGTGGTGCAACGTGGCGTTGGTGGATGGAGCGAGACATGATGTCCCAGATGTGCTCAATTGGATTCAGGTCTGGGGAACGGGCGGGCCAGTCCATAGCATCAATGCCTTCCTCTTGCAGGAACTGCTGACACACTCCAGCCACATGAGGTCTAGCATTGTCTTGCATTAGGAGGAACCCAGGGCCAACCGCACCAGCATATGGTCTCACAAGGGGTCTGAGGATCTCATCTCGGTATCTAATGGTAGTCAGGCTACCTCTGGCGAGCACATGGAGGGCTGTGCGGTCCCCCAAAGAAATGCCACCCCACACCATGACTGACCCACCGCCAAACCGGTCATGCTGGAGGATGTTGCAGGCAGCAGAACGTTCTCCACGGCGTCTCCAGACTCTGTCACATCTGTCACATGTGCTCAGTGTGAACCTGCTTTCATCTGTGAAGAGCACAGGGCGCCAGTGGCGAATTTGCCAATCTTGGTGTTCTCTGGCAAATGCCAAACGTCCTGCACGGTGTTGGGCTGTAAGCACAACCCCCACCTGTGGACGTCGGGCCCTCATACCACCCTCATGGAGTCTGTTTCTGACCGTTTGAGCAGACACATGCACATTTGTGGCCTGCTGGAGGTCATTTTGCAGGGCTCTGTCAGTGCTCCTCCTGCTCCTCCTTGCACAAAGGCGGAGGTAGCAGTCCTGCTGCTGGGTTGTTGCCCTCCTACGGCCTCCTCCACGTCTCCTGATGTACTGGCCTGTCTCCTGGTAGCGCCTCCATGCTCTGGACACTACGCTGACAGACACAGCAAACCTTCTTGCCACAGCTCGCATTGATGTGCCATCCTGGATGAGCTGCACTACCTGAGCCACTTGTGTGGGTTGTAACTCCGTCTCATGCTACCACTAGAGTGAAAGCACCGCCAGCATTCAAAAGTGACCAAAACATCAGCCAGGAAGCATAGGAACTGAGAAGTGGTCTGTGGTCACCACCTGCAAAACCAGTCCTTTATTGGGGATGTCTTGCTAATTGCCTATAATTTCCACCTGTTGTCTATTCCATTTGCACAACAGCATGTGACATTTATTGTCAATCAGTGTTGCTTCCTAAGTGGACAGTTTGATTTCACAGAAGTGTGATTGACTTGGAGTTACATTGTGTTGTTTAAGTGTTCACTTAATTTTTTTGAGCAATGTATATACATTGAGCTTGTCTGATGAAATAAGACAAATGCCTCAAGCGTGCCAGATATCTAGATAACTTTGCCTGATCCAACTATTCTCCTCCCTCTCCTGCTGGCTTTCACAGGTTCTACCATTACTCTCCTGAAGTTGCTGGTAATAGGCTACAGGAGGAGTCGGCAACCTTTCTCATGTGGAATGCCAATTTATCTTACAATTTCTACCGATCTGCATGTTATGGTTTTCATATGCTAATTTGCGTGAACGTTTCATTTAATTTATAATAATTTCTTCATGTCTCAATATCATTGTCATGTGGTTAATCAAAAATATATCCAAATTAAATGAAAATGATACAAACCTAAAAAGTAACTTATATTGCCATTGCCAGCTATGTAAAAATAGCCTACATAAAGCCAACAAATAAAAACATTGCAGCCTGCAGGTAGAAAATATCCTGATTAAAAAATAAATATCCTGTGAATCACATTGGCTACACATGGCCTGTCTGCAACGAACTTGAAACATTGTATCAACTATTAACTTGGGTCCAGCCAGAAGCTTGCACTAGCGAACTTGCAACATTGTATATTCTGGGCCCTCAGAGTTTCCGTGAGCTCCGGACAGACACAGCTGTAGGCTATTTGCGCAAGGGATAAGAAGCAGTGCTTGACTTGGGCAGGAGCTCACCGGAGCTGTGTACCGGCACCTCAAATGTTCTACTGCTTGAACTCCTGTTCCTCTTATAGAAATTAGCTCAAACATATTGTGGAGCTCCTGCACCTAAATATAAACAGCACCATCACCCAAAATAAGTACCGGAACCTATTTCAGTCCAAGTCAAGCACCGATAAGAAGTAATCAGGTAGATCTATTTCATGACGTTTCCACTGTATCAGTGCATGACATTTTTCCCTTTCACGCTGAGTGGTTATCGAAGGGAGAGCGCTGGAAAGATTTTACTAATACATTGAGGAACTAATGTAATTCTCAATGGATGTAAAAACAGACTTCGTTTGCTTGCTGTTTTGAGGTGAAGAAAACATTACTTTGAGAAGCTCCACAGGTCATCATTAGTTGTGGTGCGTTAAGCCAACCAGAAATAGTATCAGATCCCTAAATGGGCACATTTATATGCCTACATTTGCGCGCAGGCCAGGTAGCCTACAGGCCTACTTCTATGTGTGCGCGTCCTTACTCAACATTGACAGGAGCGCTCCAAACAAAAGACAATGACTACATTTGACAAAACTCATAAATCAAATGAAATAAACCAAAACTTGTTTCTCACAAGTGTAGCATAGGTTGTGCACTCTACAAACAATGTGTCCACTCCGACAATGAGAACAGGAAGACTGGAATAATAATATTGAATGCATTAACAGAAATTACCGTAACCAAAGTAACAAACATTGTAGATTCGAAACTATAGGAATTAACGGTAAATGTACTACTGGTGATGTAGGTAATGGGGAATTGATATACATTAACAATCAAACGCAAACAATTCACACAATGAAGTTATGAAACAATGAATGTGCACAAATTGGCGGCAGAGAGCGCATTCTGGAGAGAGAAGTGAATGGTAAATCCAACGTCTGCATTGGCCATGCAGCATTTATGGTGATACTGCCTCAGCAGAAGTCAGGGCATTCATACTAATTGCGCTTCGCGGAGCAGTGCAGAGCTGTTGTCAAGGAAGTGAGTTTGTGTTTTCTACAGGATGTTCTGCCCCCACCTACCGTCAACCAATCATGTCAATGTGGAGCTATACAGCGCCCTAAGCATTGTAAAAGATGTGGCTCCAGTCATTAGAATGAGCCTGTTCTCCTCAATTAAGGTGCCACCAACCTCCTGTGCTATATATTTGTTACTGCTTGACAAAAATAATCTATGTTGACCAACAGCCTAACGACCAAACAATCTACCAGTTGACTAATTGAGGTCAGCCCTAAATGACATTCTAGATGATTCTGTTCTTCCGACTTTGTGGCAACAGTTTAGTGAAGGCCCTTTTCTGTTTCAGCATGACAATGGCCCCGTGCACAATGCGAGGTCCATACAGAAATGGTTTGTCGAGATCGGTGTGGAAGAACTTGACTGGCCTGCACAGAGCCCTGACCTCAACCCCATCGAACACCTTTGGGATGTATTGGAACGCCGACTGCGAGCCAGGCCTAATCGCCCAACGTCAGTGCCCGACCTCACTAATGCTCTTGTGGCTGAATGGAAGCAAGTCCCCGCAGCAATGTTCCAACATCTAGTGGAAAGCCTTGCCAGAAGAGTGGAGGCTGTTATAGCAGCAAGGGGGGGACCAACTCCATATTAATGCCCATGATTTTGGAATGAGATGTTCGACAAGCAGGTGTCCACATACTTTTGGTCATGTAGTTTACCTTTCTTCCAATTTAAGTGTGGGTGGTTGGTTTCAATGCGTTGGTTATTTTTGCTCCTCTCTCTCCCTGCTTCCTGTCTTCGGACCTGCTCCGGCCTCATTAAGAGAATGGAGCCGTAGCTCAGACATCCATTACCTCAGCCTCTGTGTGCAGGAGGGCTCTGCCTGTGTGCTGAGGGGTTGATGGGAGCTGGGTAGGGATAAGGCCTGAAAGGTCCTATTGCGCAGCATCATCTCCCAGCCAACCACTGGAGTCTTATTGATCCTTGTGATGGCTTAAAGTGTGTACATTTGTGTGTGTGTGGGTACTTGTGTTTGTATTTAGGTGGTTGCCTGTTTCTGGGATTCTATTACCTAGGTTAGGATCAAAATAGAGGAAAATGCCATTTGATTACTGAAAAGCCTAAATGTTAATCTGTGCGACTATCAAAATGGAAAATCAGCATCTCTCCCTCTTCAAGTTTTTATCCCTCAACTAGTCTTACACCACAGAAGTGAAATTATTCGGGAAGCCCTCCGGAGTACAGAGGGCTACAGTAAGCTCAAGGAAAGTGCTGACAAAGAAGTAACTTTAATTCTTTGCATTCCACCAGAGGAAAATCATGGAGCCAGCATTCGTTCCATTTTGCTATTGTAATATTAACACCTGCGCTGGACCAGGATGTGGAATGGAGAAGAGACTGAAAATTGGTCCTTATTACTTTCTCCTTGGCGGTTGGTTGTCAGGCCTCATTCCTTAATTAAGTCGTCCAGGCTTCCTTTGAAAAAGTTTTTCTTCACTCCCAATTATTTCCAGAGTAATGAGGACAGACTAGGTGGTATGTTTGCCAGTCCCTTTGTCCCTAGGGTTTGCTATACATTAGCATATACAGCCATTTTTATCCACTGGGTCTGATGCAGTAGCGAGCCTATATGAGAGGAACGCCTCAGAACAGGCAGGAGTTTTGTTCTGAAAGCTGCACCAGCTATATCCCCAGATGTGTTTTTAAACATTGTTTTCAATCATGGGTAAGCCTATTGTTTTACATGTAAACAGGCTGGAGTTGCAAATGTTTACAAGTCCCAAAATAGTTTAGTCTTTGATAGAAGCATACTAAAGATATTTTAACGTCATAAATTACTATAGCTTGAATGTGTCTTGATATGATTTATTTAAAGAGATGGAGCCCTTCAAAGTTGTAATGCTTTCAAATTCAAGTCAACAGACAGGCTTCAGTATTTTAATCTTAATGTCAAGCACACAGTATTACCCTCTGGATCCACATTTGAAGAGCAGTTTGTTTTCATCACAAACCTCTTTCTAAAGGATCCTGTTTGTTTGCTCATATATAGAGCACTGATTAATATTCCTGTTCGATGCCCTTGTGTATGACTATTAGAGCACACCTTGACTGCTGTTGTGTGCATGCCAGCAATATGCCTCCCTCTCTGATGCCAGAATATCCCTTGAAAAGAGATTTAGTCCTGAGGGGGAGGCTGATGTCTATTGGTGCAATTATATCCAGTAAAGAATGCCAACTGTCATGTTCCCCACCTGGGCTGACAGCAGGGTGAGAGCTAACATGCACATCAGAGTTCTGTTGCAGTTTTTCTCAGGTGTCAAGTCGTCATGGTTAGGAGTTAGGCACCACATGCTAGAAGCCCCTTCTCAGTCCGTTTGCATGGCTCTTAATGATGATTAATGTGGCCGTTGTGTGTATTGACAGCCATACATTATTGGCATATGGACAGATTTGTTAAGATGGATAACTATGCAGGTGTGCATGCGAGCAGCAGAGCAGACCCCCTGGCCACTTAACTCTTAAATCAATTGATTTGTGTGTTGACTTGATCTATAAAGAGATTGGATTTGGAAAGGTTGACAAACAACACTGAATTAATATTTTTTTTCCTGTGTGTGTGTGTATTTAACAGGACATGGTTAAACGTGGTGTGATCCTGGATGATGTGATGGAGGATGAGTTCTATCTACGGAGGCTGGATGCTGGGCTGTTTGTCCTCCAGTTGCTCTGTTACATCATGGTGGAGATCAGCAACTCAGCGATATCTCAGGTAGGGCCATGGGCTGATTTACATTACATATAAAAATACCTACTGTATGCACAGTATACAGTGCCTTCGGAAAGTATTCAGACCCCTTGACTTTTCCACATTTTGTTACGTTACAGCCTTATTCTAAAATGATTTTAAAAATATATATATATATATCCTCATCAATCTACACACAATACTCCATAATGACAAAGCAAAAAGAGGTTTTTAGAAATTGTTGCTAATTTATTAAATATTAAAAACTTAAATACCACATTTACATAAGTATTCAGACCCTTTACTCAGTACTTTGTTGAAGCACCTTTGGCTGCGATTACAGCATCAATTATTCTTGGGTATGACGCTACAAGCTTGGCACACCTGTATTTGGGGAGTTTCTCCCCATTCTTCTCTGCATACCCTCTCAAGCTCTGTCAGGTTGGGTGGGGAGCGTTGCTGCACAGCTATTTTCAGGCCTCTCCAGAGATGTTCGATTGGGTTCAAGTCCGGGCTCTGACTGGGCCACTCAGGGACATTCAGAGACTTGTCCCGAAGCCACTCCTGCGTTGTCTTGGCTGTGTGCTTAGGGTCGTTGTCCTGTTGGAAGGTGAACCTTCGCCCCAGTCGGAGGTCCTGAGCGCTCTGGAGCAGGTTTTAATTTACATTTACATTTACGTCATTTAGCAGACGCTCTTATCCAGAGCGACTTACAAATAGGTGCATTCACCCTATAGCCAGTGGGATAACCACTTTACAATATCATTTTTTTTTTTTTTTAGGGGGGGGGGGGGGGTAGAAGGATTACTTTATCCTATCCCAGTGACTCCGCTGTCCTGGCGTCGTGAGGGAGCTTGTTCCACCATTGGGGTGCCAGAGCAGCGAACAGTTTTGACTGGGCTGAGCGGGAACTATGCTTCCGCAGAGGAAGGGGAGCCAGCAGGCCAGAGGTGGATGAACGCAATGCCCTCGTTTGGATGTAGGGACTGATCAGAGCCTGAAGGTACAGAGGTGCCGATCCCCTCACAGCTCCATAGGCAAGCACCATGGTCTTGTAACAGATGCGAGCTTCAACTGGAAGCCAGTGGAGTGTGCGGAGGAGCGGGGTGACGTGAGAGAACTTGGGAAGGTTGAACACCAGACGGGCTGCGGCATTCTGGATGAGTTGTAGGGGTTTAATGGCACAGGCAGGGAGCCCAGCCAACAGCGAGTTGCAGTAATCCAGACGGGAGATGACAAGTGCCTGGATTAGGACCTGTGCCGCTTCCTGTGTAAGGCAGGGTCGTACTCTCCGAATGTTGTAGAGCATGAACCTGCAGGATCGGGTCACCGCCTTGATGTTAGTGGACAACGACAGGGTGTTGTCCAGGGTCACGCCAAGGCTCTTCGCACTCTGGGAGGAGGACACAATGGAGTTGTCAACCGTGATGGCGAGATCATGGAACGGGCAGTCCTTCCCCGGGAGGAAGAGCAGCTCCGTCTTGCCAAGGTTCAGCTTGAGGTGGTGATCCGTCATCCATACTGATATGTCTGCCAGACATGCAGAGATGCGATTCGCCACCTGGTTATCAGAAGGGGGAAAGGAGAAGATTAGTTGTGTATCGTCAGCGTAGCAATGATAGGAGAGGCCATGTGAGGATATGACAGAGCCAAGTGACTTGGTGTATAGGGAGAATAGGAGAGGGCCTAGAACTGAGCCCTGGGGGACACCAGTGGTGAGAGCACGTGGTGCGGAGACAGCTTCTCGCCACGCCACTTGGTAGGAGCGACCGGTCAGGTAGGACGCGATCCAGGAGTGAGCCGCGCCGGAGATGCCTAGCTCGGAGAGGGTGGAGAGGAGGATCTGATGGTTCACAGTATCAAAGGCAGCAGACAGGTCTAGAAGGACAAGAGCAGAGGAGAGAGAGTTAGCTTTAGCAGTGCGGAGAGCCTCCGTGACACAGAGAAGAGCAGTCTCAGTTGAATGACCAGTCCTGAAACCTGACTGGTTTGGATCAAGAAGGTCATTCTGAGAGAGATAGCAAGAGAGTTGGCTAAAGACGGCACGCTCAATAGTTTTGGAAAGAAAAGAAAGAAGGGATACTGGTCTGTAGTTGTTGACATCAGTGGGATCGAGTGTTGGTTTTTTGAGAAGGGGTGCAACTCTCGCTCTCTTGAAGACGGAAGGGACATAGCCAGCGGTCAAGGATGAGTTGATCAGCGAGGTGAGGTAGGGGAGAAGGTCACCGGAGATGGTCTGGAGAAGAGAGGAGGGGATGGGGTCAAGCGGGCAGGTTGTTGGGCGGCCTGCAGTCACAAGTCGCAAGATTTTATCTGGAGAGAGAGGGGAGAAAGAAGTCAAAGCATAGGGTAGGGCAGTGTGAGCAGGACCAGCAGTGTCATTAGGCTTAACAAACGAGGATCGGATGTCGTCAACCTTCTTTTCAAAGCGGTTGACGAAGTCATCCACAGAGAGAGAGGAGGGGGGGGGGGGGGGGGGATTCAGCAGGGAGGAGAATGTGGCAAAGAGCTTCCTAGGGTTAGAGGCAGATGCTTGGAATTTAGAGTGGTAGAAAGTGGCCTTAGCAGCAGAAACAGATGAAGAAAATGTAGAGAGGAGGGAGTGAAAAGATGCCAGGTCGGCAGGGAGTTTAGTTTTCTTCCATTTCCGCTCCGCTGCCCGGAGCTCTGTTCTGTGAGCTCGCAATGAGTCATCAAGCCACGGAGCTGGAGGGGAGGACCAAGCCGGCCGGGAGGATAGGGGTCACAGAGAGTCAAAGGATGCAGAAAGGGAGGAGAGGAGGGTTGAGGAGGCAGAATCAGGAGATTGGAGGGAGAAGGATTGAGCAGAGGGAAGAGATGATAGGATGGAAGAGGAGAGAGTAGTGGGAGAGAGAGAGCGAAGGTTGCGGCGGCGCATTACCATCTGTGTAGGGGCAGAGTGAGTAGTGTTGGAGGAGAGCGAGAGAGAAAAGGATACAAAGTAGTGGTCGGAGACAAGGAGGGGAGTTGCAGTGAGATTAGTAGAAGAGCAGCATCTAGTAAAGATGAGGTCAAGCGTATTGCCTGCCTTGTGAGTAGGGGGGGACGGTGAGAGGGTGAGGTCAAAAGAGGAGAGGAGTGGAAAGAAGGAGGCAGAGAGAAATGAGTCAAATGTAGACGTAGGGAGGTTGAAATCCCCCAAAACTGTGAGGGGTGAGCCATCCTCAGGAAAGGAACTTATCAAGGCGTCAAGCTCATTGATGAACTCTCCAAGGGAACCTGGAGGGCGATAGATGACAAGGATATTAAGCTTAAATGGGCTAGTGACTGTGACAGCATGGAATTCAAATGAGGAGATAGACAGATGGGTTAGGGGAAAAATTGAGAATGTCCACTTGGGAGAGATGAGGATTCCTGTGCCACCACCCCTCTGACCAGATGCTCTCGGGGTATGCGAGAACACATGGTCAGACGAGGAGAGAGCAGTAGGAGTAGCAGTGTTTTCAGTGGTAATCCATGTTTCCGTCAGCGCCAGGAAGTCGAGGGACTGGAGGGTAGCATAGGCTGGGATGAAGTCAGCCTTGTTGGCAGCAGAACGGCAGTTCCAGAGGCTGCCTGAGACCTGGAACTCCAGGTGTGGGGTGCGTGCAGGGACCACCAGGTTAGAGAGGCAGCAGCCACGCGGTGTGAGGCGTTTGTGTAGCCTGTGCGGAGAGGAGAGAACAGGGATAGGCAGAGGCATAGTTGACAGGCTGTAGCAAATGGCTACAATAATGCAGAGGAGATCGGAATGAAATGAACTAAACATCTGGGAAAGGAGAGAGTAAAAACCAAAACTCCCAAATATAACTCTCCCAACTTCACCTCAGAAACTATAATTGTTTCACTGAACCACCCGAATAAAACTCTCCCAACTTCCACTTTAGAAATTAGAATTGTTGTGAAATACAGCGGTTCAATGTTTCAAGGAATAGACTCAACTTACTTTATTCAGCTAGCTAACTATGACGCTATAGCTAACTAGCATGCTAGCATCCAATAACACACAGTTTAGCACCAATACTTGGTTACAACAAACTACCAATAGTGTGTTAACACACTAAACAGATAATTCATGTCCGTGTCTAGTTCCTTTCATAACGCAGCAATAATTAAATGTTGGCTAGCTAGCACAAATATATTGTATTTAGCTGCTACAGTACAGCTAGCCGGTCGTGTTGGCTAGCTAGCAATGGCTGCTGTGTTGACTTTGTTTGAATAACGGCGGCGCTGCGAACAAATGTAGCTGGCTAAAAGGATATTGTATTTAGTTGCTACCGTTGCTAATAGCTACTCGCCAGCTAGTCCAGGAGGTGAGTTAGCTAGCTACACCCGGCACCGCCGAATACAATGCTAACCTACAATAACTACCCACAACAGCCCACGATGCCTACCTATAATACCTAATAATATACAGCCCACGATGCCTACCTATAATACCTAACTACAATCTAAATACATAGTTTAAGCCTTACTCGACAAAGCCCAAGCTATGTATAAAGCCAAACTTACCCGACGCCAGCTGTCTGACTTTGCTCCGTTCAACTTTGCCTCGATTCTGACTAGTGTCCCAGTCCCTGCCGCTGAAAAACATACCCACAGCATGATGCTGCCACCACCATGCTTCATCGTAGGGATGGTGCCAGGTTTCCTCCAGATGTGACGCTTGGCATTCAGGCCAAAGAGTTCAATCTTGGTTTCATCAGACCAGAAAATCTTGTTTACAGAGTGTCTTTAGGTGCTTTTTGGCAAACTCAAAGCGTGCTATAATATGCCTTTTACTGAGGAGTGGTTTCCGTCTGGCCATAAATGATTGGTGGAGTGCTGCAGAGATGGTTGTCCTTCTGGAAGGTTTTCCCATCTCCACAGAGGAACTCTAGAGCTCTGTCAGAGTGACCATCAGGTTCTTCTCCCCCGATTGCTCAGTTTGGTCGGGCGGCCAGCTCTAGGAAGAGTCTTGGTGGTTCCAAACATCTTCTATTTAAGAGTGATGGAGGCAACTGTTTTCTTGGACCTTCAATGCTGAAGAAATTCTTTGGTACCCTTCCCCAGATCTGTGTCTAGACACAATCCTGTCTCGGAGCTCTACGGACAATTCCTTCAACCTCATGGCTTGGTTTTTGCTCTGACATGCACTGTCAACTGTGGGACGGTATATAGACAGGTGTGTGCCTTTCTAAATCATGTCCAATATACCACAGCTGGACTCCAATCAAGTTGTAGAAACATTTCAAGGATGATCAATGGAAACAGGATGCACCTGAGCTCAATTTTGAGTCTTATAGCAAAGGGTCTGAATGCTTACGTAAAATAAGGTATTCCTGTTTTTTATTTGTAATAAATTAGCGGAATTTCTAAAAACCTGTTTTCGCTTTGTCATTATGGGGTATTGTGTTTAGATTGCTGAGGATTGTTTTCTTTTAAATCCATTTTAGAATAAGTTTGTAACGTAACAAAAGTGTAAAAAGTCAAGTGGTCTGAATACTTTCCGAAGGTACACTACATGACCAAAAGTATGTGGAGACTTGCTTGTTGAACATCTCATTCCAAAATCATGAGCATTAATATGGAGTTGGTCCCCCCTTTGTTGCTATAACAGCGTCCACTCTTCTGGGAAGGTTTCCCTCTAGACGTTGGAACATTGCTGCGGGGACTTGCTTCCATTTAGCCACGAGCATTAGTGAGGTCGGGCACCGATGTTGGGCGATTAGGCCTGGCTCGCAGTCAGCGTTCCAATTCATCCCAAAGATGTTGGATGGAGTTGAGGTCAGGGCTCTGTGCAGGCCAGTCAAGTTCTTCCACACCAATCTCGACAAACCATTTCTGTATGGACCTCGCTTTGTGCACAGGGGCATTGTCATGCTGAAACAGGAAAGGGTCTTCCCCAAACTGTTGCCACAAAGTTGTAAGCACAGAATCGTCTAGAATGTCATTGTATGCTGTAGCGTTAAAATGTCCCTTCACTGGAACTAAGGGGCCTAGCCCAAACCATGAAAAACAGCCCCAGACCATTATTCCTCCTCCACCAAACTTTACAATTGGCACTATGCATTTGGGCAGGTAGCGTTCTCCTGGCTTCCGCCAAACCCAGATTAATCTGTCGGACTGACAGATGGTGAAGCGCGATTCATTACTCCAGAGAACGTGTTTCCATTGCTCCAGAATCCAATGGTGTTGAGCTTTACACCACTCCAGCTGATACTTGGCATTGTGCATGGGGATCTTAGGCTTGTGTGCGGCTGTTCGGCCATGGAAACCCATTTCATGAAGCTCCCGACTAACAGTTATTGTGCTGACATTGCTTCCTGAGGCAGTTTGGAACTTGGTAGTGAGTGTTGCAACCGAGGACAGACGTTCTTTGAGCTTGTGTGGCGTACCACTTCGTGGCTGAGCCGTTGTTGCTCCTAGACGTTTCCACTTCACAATAACAGCCCTTACAATTGACCGGGGCAACTTTAGCAGCGCAGAAATTTGACGAACTGACTTGTTGGAAAGGTGGCATCCTATGACAGTGCCACGTTGAAAGTCACTGAGCTCTTCAGTAAGTTCATTCTACTGCCAATGTTTGTCTATGGAGATTGCATGCCTGTGTGCTCGATTTTATACACCTGTCAGCAACGGGTGTGGCTGAAATAGCCGAATCCACTAATTTGAAGGGGTGTTCACATACTTTTGTATATATAGTGTACCTTTTTAGCTTAACTTCTGAGTGAAATAGTGTTAACTTTACAATGTGACAGAGGCTAAGTGTACAGTATGCTAGCGTTATCAGTGATTCAGTCATGACCCTTTGTCCTTTCTCCTCTCAGCTGCAGCAGAGGGTGCATCAGATCCTCAACCTGAGGGGAGGCTCTGTCAAAGTGGTGCGGCACATCATGAGAGGTGAGGGTCCACTCCACACCCTGCTAGAGGGAGAGAGACTAGCACTGATGTATTTACTCCGAAGCCATACAACACCTAGCCTAATTAACAGCCTTACTCTTTCCTTCTTTACCTAAAAGGCATAAGTACATTTGTACTATGTGTTTTTAGTTTATATATTCATGTGATTGTATTTTGAGTTATTTATTAACCTCTGTCATTGTCAACTAAGACCAGGAAGCTGTGGACGGCATGGCTCTCTCAGCCCTGATGACATGTAGAGATGTAAATAGAGACGTCCGTCATGTCACAGCTTGGACAGGGTAGCGAATCTCATGTTGATGTGCAGCACTAGCCCCATGTCCCCTGTCTCCTGTCCCTCGAGAGCAAACAGTTACTACTTACTTTACGTTCATGCTCAGCTACCCGCCCCTCAGCTGTGAGTCTGTCTGTGTGTGTGCGCTTGTGTGGCTGACATTGTGGGTGCTATTAGAGTGGGAAGCTCATCCCTGATCTCCCTCATTTAAAAGGCTGACTCCTGCATTGGACATGGCTTTGGCAGCATGAAAATGTTAAATACATTCAGAGAGGATGTCAAGGGCTCTGAACTTGACCCCGGTCTTTTAGAATGAAAATGGAGGCTGTCTAGAGTGGACCGCTAATGAATTTGGCATGACCGAATATATACAAATGTTTTGCTGACTATTATCTCACACCCGTTCTATGGATAATATGGAGCTTGAGAATAGATTGTAATACTAGATTGTTGTTAATTTTATTGAATGATACACTAGGTATATTACATTCTGTCTGCTCCAGATGATATAGGATGTCTGTCCAGGCCTCTACACTCCAGCAGCCTCAGTGGTCTGGCCAGGCAGGGTGAAATGACCTTATTGTCTGACTGGCTCCCACCAGATGGGGCCTCTTGGCCCTCAGCTCAGAGTGGGAGGTTCTGTGGAACCAAGGTATCAATGAAACTGTGTTGGGGAATTAAGAATGTACTGTATCTTTCTCCAAGCCGGCACCAGCTGTGGTTTCATACACTAGCTCAGATCGACAGCTGCTCAGTAAAAGGGCCCAACCTGTGAAGTCACGTGTGGTGGACGGTGCCATCCAGAAGCATAATGATCCCGTGGTTGTGTTGTGTGTGACTGCCATGTCCTCTGTCTGCCATACCCTCCCAACCAGTGTAGCCTGAGGTTTTGAAGTCTTGCATAAAAAGACTACAACCTACAGATTGAAGGTGTTATTCTTGGGAGAAATGAAGCATTGAAGTTCTTCAGAGTGTCTTGACAAGCACTGCAGCAGTCTGCACTCCCTGTTATCTTCAGCTCATAGCCTCATCGATGATTAACCTACTTGTCTGACGGTGAGACTGGCCCGAAAATTAAGTGCGACATTTGCGATCGAGCAGGAAGCCCTAGCCAGTGACCCAGCAAATGGTGGCAGCGTTTGTCACGCCATATTCCCCTCAGCCCGGTCGCCACAGTGACAGGAAGAGCACCTTAGAACGCCAGCCCATGATTCTGGAGAGTGGACCTGTCTTCTTGAGGCTAATTCCAGGGGATATTGGGATTGTGTGGGTCATTTGTGGAACCCTGCTGGCACACACACATTCGGGCTGAATGAGCAGGGTATGATGTAGAATGTAGGACTTCAAGAAAATATTTGGAGTCTTGTTTTTTGTTAGTGCTTAATACCACTGTGTATAGTTTTACTATCAGTCATCATGAATATGAGATTCAGAGCTCTGCTCTGTGTTAGAATTTATGCTCATGATCGTGGCTGTGGTTACTGAATCTCATGAGGAAATGAATCCTCTCTGGTTGCAAACTCCTTGTGATTCACCCCAGCATTCTATTGAAGGCATATTTTCCCCCTTGCCTCAGGCCATTGTCAGAAACTCCTTTATTCTCTGGTGTTTTAAAAGAGAAAAACTATTTTTGATCTCTCCTCAAGGGACCACAGGCTTTACTGGTAATCCTGCGTTGGGGCTACCTGCGTTGGGCCTCTGACAGCACACTCTCCTCCACATTAGACTCACAAATAGACTGCTGCTTTCAGAGGCTATGCCTGTGTGACTGCCTGGAGTTCCACAGCGACTTTGCCTCAGTCAAAGAAGAGTGTGAGTTGGCAGGGAATATAGGCTGAAGTTATGTACCCCTGAGAGACATGGTGTAAGTCAGGGGATATAGGAATAAACACACAGTATACTGCACTGCTAGAGAGCAACACTGGATCGACAGGCTAGAACATAGGGTTGGAGATACAGTTTCAGTTTTAGAAAAATTTATATCATCCTAGATTTCTAGGTTGCAGACTGCAGCCTTTTCTAAATCTCTCCTTTTTTTGTATTCTGGCCTCGGCACTAAGCTATGGGTTATTCTACACACGTATGGAGTACTGGGTGTGTGTTCAGTGTCCACGCATGTATTCATGTGTGGGCGTGAGCGAGAGGAAAAGAGCGGGAGTTATGTCATTGTAATTCAGGAACATCCTCCTAGGGTTGAATTCTCTTTCCTTTGATTTGTTTGGATTACAGGAACCATGCCCATGGAGAGGTTTGATTCAAAAGAAGACTGCGTGAAGAGCTCATAGTCAGCCAAACTAAACTTGGGGACTTGTCTTTTTCAGAGTATGCTGAAAACATTGGTGACGGGAAGAGTGAGGAGTTCAAAGAGAGCGAGCAGAAGAGGATCATGGACCTGCTGGAGAACTTCTAACCCTAACCAACCCCTGGGAGGAGTGACCTGACCAGGACAGAGGGTCTCCACACACTCACAGACAGAAGATACCAGTGTCCAGCAGGGACAGAGAAGCTGTGTTGACTGCTCTCTCTGTGCTGGAACATGAGGGACTATAGTGACTCAAAATAGAATAACAAAGATGTGCAGTCTTAAGATGCAACTCTTTCAGACTCGCATCTTTGTGTTTGATTTGTGTATTTTGTAATAAATATTTGGTAATAAAATCCCATCCGGGTAAGAGGATTCTTTGTGAATTTAAATCCCCATTTACACCTCATTTCAGTTCTTATTTTGAGATAGAAAGGCTTAAGTCATAAAATAAAATACATTGCTGTCACATTGTTTTCTCTGCAGGTGAATTATGTGTAATTATTTCCCCCTTTGCTTTTGGCAGGGTTGTGTTTGCAGTAAGAGAGGTTGAGGGAAGACAGTGTAGGTTAAGGGCATGATGATGCACAGCCTAAAAAGAAGCATAGACAACTATTCTCAGTCCTTTTGTCATCAACTGGTCAGACTAGAATGGTCAGAAGTTTACATACACTTAGGTTGGAGTCATTAACTTGTTTTTCAACCACTCCACAAATTTCTTGTTAACAAACTATACTTTTGGCAAGTCGTTTAGGACATCTACTTTGTGCATGACACAAGTAATATTTCCAACAATTGTTTACAGACAGATTATTTCACTTATAATTCACTGTATCACCATTCCAGTGGGTCAGAAGTGTACATACACTAAGTTGACTGTGCCTTTAAACAGCTTGGAAAATTCCAGAAAATGATGTCATGGCTTTAGAAGCTTCTGATAGGCTAATTGACATCATTTGAGTCAATTGGAGGTGTACCTGTGGATACATTTCAAGGCCTACATTCAAACTCAGTGCCTCTTTGCTTGACATCATGGGAAAATCAAAAGAAATCAGCCAAGACCTCAGAAAAAAATGTGTAGACCTCCACAAGTCTGGTTCATCCTTGGGAGCAATTTCCAAACGCCTGAAGGTACCACGTTCATCTGTACAAACAATAGAACGCAAGTATAAACACCATGGGACCACGCAACATTCATACAGCTCAGGAAGGAGACGCGTTCTGTCTCCTAGAGATGAACGTACTTTGGTGCGAAAAGTGCAAATCAATCCCAGAACAACAGCAAATGACCTTGTGAAGATGCAGGAGGTAACAGGTACAAATGTATCTATATCCACAGTAAAACGAGTCCTATATCGACATAACCTGAAAGGCTGCTCAGCAAGGAAGAAGCCACTGCTCCAAAATTGCCATAAAAAAGCCAGACTACGGTTTGCAACTGCACATGGGGACAAAAATCTTACTTTTTGGAGTAATGTCCTCTGGTCTGATGAAAAACAAACTGTTTGGCCATAATGACCATCGTTATGTTTGGAGGAAAAAGGGGGTTGCTTGCAAGCCGAAGAACACCATCCCAACCGTGAAGCACGGGGGTGGCAGCATCATGCTGTGGGGGTGCTTTGCTGCAGGAGGGACTGGTGCACTTCACAAAATAGATGGCATCATGAGGAAAGAAAATTATGTGGATATATTGAAGCAACATCTCAAGACATCAATCAGGAAGTTAAAGCTTGGTCGCAAATGGGTCTTCCAAATGGACAATGACCCCAAGCATACTTCCAAAGTTCTGGCAAAATGGCTTAAAGACAACAAAGTCAAGGTATTGGAGTGGCCATCACAAAGCCCTGACCTCAATCCTATAGAAAATATGTGGGCAGAACTGAAAAAGCGTGTGCGAGCAAGGAGGCCTACAAACCTGACTCAGTTACACCAGCTCTGTCAGGAGGAATGGCCCAAAATTCACCCAACTTATTGTGGGAAGCTTGTGGAAGGCTACCCGAAACGTTTGACCCATGTTAAACAATTTAAAGGTAATGCTACGAAATACTAATTGAGTGTATGTAAACTTCTGACCCACTGGGAATGTGATGAAATAAAGCTGAAATAAATCATTCTCTATACTATTATTCTGACATTTCACATTCTTAAAATAAAGTGGTGATCCTAAATGACCTAAAACAGGGAATTCTTACTAGGATTAAATGTCAGGAATTGTGAAAAACTGAGTTTAAATGTATTTGTCTAAGGTGTATGTAAACTTCCGACTTCAACTGTATATCTCAAGCATACATATTTAATGTTTCTGAACATGGCATCTAGTATATCTCCACTTCAAGGGAGGATGATGGCTGAATATACAGTATGCCTCCTCTACACAGAAGGACTGCCGCAGTTGGGTTGTGAAATCACAGCGGGACACTGCAGATAGTGGTAATGGGGTCTGATGCCTGGGATTCCCAGGATGACATAAAGGCATGGTATCATACTGCACCATGTCTGTTCATATGACTTCCTTGGGAATCCCAATGGAATGGGGCGGGTAGGCCTTATTTGCAGATCTTATTAAAAATGTTATATTTTTTGTTGGAAATAGAAACTGAGATGTGCTTGGAAAGCAAATTCTGAGATGTGGGCTCTGTGGTTTATTCATGAGCAAAGGAGTGCGTGAGAATCCTTGTGTTGTCAACCTCTGGTAAACCGTTGCCACAGGTTTGTCACAGATTCAAATACAATCTTGAGAGAAATGTTTGCCAGAAAAAAACCTCTGGTGAACTGTTTGCCACTAGTGGCAATAAATATTATTGTTGCCAAAGGTTTGCCTCAGATTCACCACTAGTGACAATAAATATTATTGTTGCCAAAGGTTTGCCTCAGATTCACCGCTAGTGGCAATACATATTATTGTTGCCAAAGGTTTGCCTCAGATTCACCGCTAGTGGCAAACATTTGCAAACTTCTGGTAATATTATGTGGTACACTATTTAGTTTCAATCAAATTTGCCACAAACTTGCAAGAAGTTGGAATGTGTTACAAAAATATATTTTTGGAAGGGATAACAGCTAGTTTTCAGGTTACACATCCCTCCCATTATACCACTCTCAGACCACTCCCAGACAGTCCTAGCTAAATTCTTGCTTGAGAAATTGCATTTTGCTAAGAAGCTATTTTTGTTTCTTTTTGACAATTTTAATTGAAAATACAGTAAGGTACTTAATTGTTTCCCAGAAATGATTTGATATTGAGATAACAGATGCCTTGGAACTTTAAATAGTGCAGCTTTCTGTGCCATGCCTTTGTTTACTCTTGTTTATGCCACATGCGCCCTGTTGCCACTTTGCTCAGCGCAGATGTTAAAATCATTAAATATTTAGTTGTTTTAGAAATGGAATGCTTCATATTGCTCACAGCCGTTCAGTCTAAAGGGTTAATCATAGTCCAAAACGTGTACGGTATGGACAGCAGTCTAGAATATTGGACCGTTGCCTTTCATTCTTTTCGAATTCTCAGCGCAGCTCAAGCAATTTCTGAAACTGTCAACACATTCAAATGAATAGAGGACTGGAGTACCGGAGACGAGTTGGTTGGGAATTGTGGGGAGGTGCGTGTTCCGGCTGTGAGTCCCCGCGGATGGTGGTCTCAAAATGCTCTGCTTGATTTCCAAGATCTCCCAACACTATTCACACTAAACTATTGCCATCTCCCTGGTAACTAGAATCTTAAAGTAGTTTCAATGAATCATTTTTTGTGTTTTTGCCATATGTGATCAAGGGTGTCATATGAGGGAGTGGATTTTTTATTGATGCTCTGCCACATTATCAAACTTAACATGCAAATCAGAGCGAGCCACTGGCCCGGGCTCGAGTAGAGGCTCAAGGACATTATCACCATAGCAATGCTTATCGAGAGCATGTGGGAGCAATCTTGCCATGCCAATCACTCATATCTCGGGTTGTTGTGGCGTCGTCGCGGCTGGGAGGAGGCAAAGGAGGCCGTTCTCCAACAGCGTAACAGCTGCTCTGCAAGCTGCGCTCTAATATAGCTTATAACGAGAGAATTGTCATTTGCATATTGTATTGGCAGGAAGGTACCCAACGCATCTCTTATCAGTGATTATGACACCACCATGTTAACAGTGGTTGTACAGCAATTTCACAGCTGAGAGGAAGTAGAATAATTTTATTTTCCAAGTGATTGAATTGAACACCATGTGCTGTGATTTTCTCCCTGCTTCCTTGCAGTGTACATGGTGTAAGTGGGAAGACAAACTGCAATTTCAATGTTATTGAATAATTGGTTTCTGGTGGAAGATTCAATATCAGGCCCCTTAGCTCCTTTACCATGAAGGTTGTAATGATTTATCTCATGCAATGGACACTGTGAATGACCATTATTAGCCATATGATTTTCCTAGTTAGATTATGTAGCAATGTTCTACAATTCTTTTTTTTTTTGTTCTAGCCTGTTTGCTTTGAATGGCTCATAAAACAAAATAGATGTAGCCTATCATCACATTTATCCATCCCTAAACATAAGACATTACATTTAGTAGATATGAGATGGAGTACATTTGTGAGCCCGAGTGGCGCAGCGGTCTAAGGCATTGCATCTCAGTGCTTGAGGCGTCACTACAGACCCCCTGGTTCGATTCCAGGCTGTATCACAACCGGCCTTGATTGGGAGTCCCATAGGGCGGTGCACAATTGGCCCAGGTTTGGCCGGTGTAGGCCGTCATTGTAAATAAGATTTTGTTCTTAACTGACTTGCCTAGTTAAATAAAGATAAAAAAATAAAAATTACTAATTCTGTGGTTATTTCATTCTATGAAGAAGATAATTGTTGTGATTATGATTCAAATCCAAATTGTGCTACAGTGCCTTCAGAAAGTACACCCCTTGACTTTTTCCACATTTTGTTGTGTTACAGCCTGAATTTAAAATGGAATCATTTAAGATGTTTTGGTCACTGGCCTACACACAATGTCAAAGTGGAATTGTGTTTTTTGACAATTTTACAAATTAATGAAAAATGAAAAGCTGAAATGTCTTGAGTCAATAAGTATTCAATTATTTTGTTAAGGCAAGCCTAAATAAGTTCAGAGTAAAAATAT